CTCCAACATAGAAATGGCCATCCTGAGTGATACATTTTGAAAAAACCTACTTTTTAGTCATTTTCTTTTCTGTTGGAAAATATGTGAAAGTTGTCCGGCACTATACGTCGGAATCAAGTGAACTAATAAATTGCGAATTTGAGATTCGCGTAGATGAGGTGCTCTCATATTTTCAAACACATTCGTAACTTTCTTGTAATAGGTTGGATTTATTTCAAACTTCCACCTTGTTGTTTCCTTTGAGTTTCTCCTTTTATACAACTTGATCTATTGCAAAGGTTGGATTTCTGTTTAAAGGTAGAGAATAGGCCTAAAAGTACTAGAGTGAGTCCCCAGACGAATTTTTCCCTACTTTTTATGTAATTTCATCATTTATTTCTACAAGATATCAGAGTGCTCGAGAACATTATTTGACCGAACTACATCGCAATAGTCAAGCTGAGAGAAACAGCAAAAGAGAGAGAGAGAGAGAGAGAGAGAGACGGTTCGGGGGGGGGGAGAAATTGACGAGCTTGAATATTAAGACATTGTGACTCTCTTAAACTATCCTTCCTCTGCTTAATCTTCTTCTCCTACTTCTCCTTCTCCTCCTTCTCCTCCTACTTCTCCTTCTCCTCCATCTTATTCTTTTCCCTCTCCTTTGTCTATCTTCTGTTCATTATTTTTTTTCATTCTATACTTCTTACTTTCTTTTTTTCTTTTTCTTCTTTTTTGTTTTCTTACTTTTCCTACATACCGAAGTCATCAACATTGAATTATAAAATTTCCTCTTTTCAAATAAAATTTGATGATATCAGTCTCTATAATATAATTAAAAATCGCTATACCAATACTTACCCTTCATACGTAGATCTTTGATTTTATTTTGTATACAAGGACTATTGAGTTTTCTCTCCAGACAACATCTGTGTTCATTTGATTAAGGGAAACCCAACCTTTTTAATATGTTTAATTGTATGAAAGCAGAAAATAAAGAGAAAAAGAACGAAAATCAAACGAAGAAAATCTCACTAGCTAACACACAATGCGATGAGAACACCCGCAATTGCGCGTTCTAGAATATAGACCCAGCAAGTCATAAAACCACGCCTTTATTTAGAGTGCGAGCATTCAAGCGTAGTGCATCATGGGATACAAACTAAATAAAGTTAATCCAATATCTACGGACATTTTTAGCAATGCATGAACTAAGCCCATGCGCATGAAAGAATTATTCAAACTACATGTTAAATCGCAATATTGTTCCCACGCACAGCACGCACACAAAACGTGGTGAAAACAAACAGATAATAAATCATGATACGGATGTATTGTATCACTATGAGGAAGTACATGCATCTAACTTTTTTTCAATTATTTTATGGCAAGTTCCCTTTTTGTATTGATTTTGAGATTGAAGATCAACAATTGAGAATGTGGCCCGCAACACATAGCCGGATTTAAAAGGGCACAACCGCCATTGCCCTTTTAAAACCTCTGGAAAATATGTCCCTCTTGTCATGGTTGCTGAGTTTTTGTGTATTTACGCCCCCCCCCCCCCCCCCCCCTCGATGCTCTTCCGCAAGGCTAGACCCCAAAAGGCAGAAGCAAATAATAATATTAACTTTTTCCTTTCCATTTGTTAGGTTTTGTATTTTTCTTCTACTGCTATATGCATTTCTTTTCGATTCACTTATTTTTTTTTTCTATTTTATTTCTGTTCCCAACAAAATATTACAAATCAATTACAATCATTTACTTTATTTGACTGGTTTGCTATTATTACAAGTGTATACATACTGTTTAAAAAAAGGTTGTTCTCGTCCTAGGATTGCCCGACATGGCAAAAAGTAATGCATGTAATCTGGATTCCAAGTATTGTAGTTCATTCATTAATAACATATTAATGAAAACCTCGTTACTAGTTCCCAAAGAGAGAACCATCTATAAATTTGAATATGTTCAGAAACCGGTCTATTTAGAAATTAATTACATCAAGAAAGTTCTCTGCGGTAAGTCTAGGCCAACTCATGCTCACAACACTTGATTTCATATTTTCTATGAACTGCTATTGGTCAAACTGTTGGCGAAAGGGACATGAATACAAAACCCTTTTTTTTTAAACTGATCATGTTTTTTGATTGAATAATCATTTGCCCCTTCGTAATTATGCCGCAGCTATAATGCAAATAACACTCTACCGCGATACACAGCATCATATCAGTCAAAACGTTTGTAGCTGAGCCGCCCTGATAAGGCGCTAAAGCAATTCAAAAAAATTGATGTCTAATTGGGCGTTGCAATAAAGTTGCGATTGATTGTAAGTTGCAAAATTGGCATCTGATATTTGCAATCAATTGCAACTCAACTTTCTTGCAACGCTTCAATAGTGTCCTTAATTTCCTAGGATTTTTTCAGGATTAAAGCTTTAACAATTAAATTAAGTTTAATAACTAGATCTAGCTTTTACCACCCCCTCCCCCTCCCCCCCCCCCCCCCCCCCCCCCTCTCTCTCTCTCTTACTAATGGGGCGTTGCAAGAAAACTGAGTGGCGATCAATTGCAAATTTGCAATAAATCGTAAGACTTACGCTTGATTTGGGGGATTTGCAATTGATTGCACCTTTCTTGCAACGCCCCATAAGTATATTAAAGGAAACCTTACCCTAAAGAATACGTGTATTCTGAAAAATGGGATGTACTCCTGTTCTTTGATGTATAATATTCTTTATGAAAGTCTACAAAAGATAATAAAGTAAAGTTATTCTTAGCACGATTTGATGCCTTTTAGCATGACATGTGCGCAGCCATTTCCTTGAAAATGTGGCGTATGAGGTAAAGTTGTACATGTATCATGCACGAAGCTTTATTTAAAATGGAAAGACTTTTCAAATCAATAAGCAAACTTTTACTTTTCAATGAGCACAAATCATAGCTGGAAAGATAGAAATTATATTTGGTGAAAAATGTATAACAGGGGAACAATCGTAACTAATTTATTCAAAGTACTTAAACATAGCAGTTGACAAATCTCTTTAACCCCAGGAGAGCGCCAATTACTTATGCAATTTGCGTTATGGAAATTTTAGGACTAAAAGGATAAGGCCTATACAAAAGATGTTGTATTGCCCTTTAGGTGCCAAAACATGGGTCGGTCGGTCGGAAATCTTTTTTTTTTCTTTGACTACCTCTTTGGGCTGATATTTCTCAGTTTTGAATGCTTTAATAGAATTTTTTTTCTCTCTAAAATACGCTTTTAAAAAAAATTGCTAAAAAAGCCGACCGTAGATTTCAAAAAATTGGGTCGGTAACAAAGGGCAAAACAACAACTTTTTTGCATAGGCCTAATAGCAGGTGAATGTTCATTTTCATCACCACCGGACTCGAAGGACTCGAAACCCTGAACCACCATAAGGTCCGGTGACATAACCGCCGCTAGACAGGACACCTGTACGCTGACATCGTAATAAAACAAGAATCCTTTAAATATTTTGTGTGTGTCTCTTTAGGCGAGGCGTCAAAAATATCGATACCAGCAGGCTGCCGCCTCACGTATTGGCGCATCGAGGCTGCAATTACGCCCGAAGCCTGGCTGGGGCAATTATTTTTCACTTATTAGCCCAGCCGGCTTGCGCCAGGCTGGGATCTGAGGCTTGATTTCCATTCGAAAGGCGGCAGCCGGCGCATGCTTTTGTTCGGAGACCATTATGATGACATCATGAGTTAATTGAGGGTCCTACCGCCAGCGGTAGCCGGCTGAGCTAATTAAAAAAATGCAGCCAGGACGCACAAGTGCAGTTAGCTGCCGCTGGCTGGTATATTTATTTTTGACGCCTCGCCTTAAACATACGCGAAGAGAAATACCGACCATTGCTGTCATTGATGTATATTACTGTCAAATTTTCATTGCGGTTTTGTTTTTGGTCTATATATTACAAAGTATTGATGTATTTGTGTTGCATTTCATAATACCGATTCACTCGTGCAAATCATTGTATGAATACATGCGGTGAAGAGCGTGCTTGGGAAGATGGGTTGCGTGCTATTGGCTCGGGTGTGCGCTCGTGCGAGGGTCGTTGTGTGTTTACAGAGGATTTCTCATTCCCTTTCTGGCGGGAAGACAACAATAGGACAAGTACAAAACCTGTCATTCCTTTCAATTTGTTTCGTAAATATATTGCTTTTTGGGGGGTTTAACCAACTTTAGGTAGTTTCAATAACCTAGTGCATCATTTTGAAATGTGCTGATGTCACAATGACGTGCTCCAAACAAGAATTATTTAGGACAGCGACTTTCCAACCCTTTTCCTGTCGCGGCATCCTTTAGAGATATAAATGATTTCGCGTCACCCTAACCCCAAGTCATTATAGGAGTTTCATTAGGGACTTTTAGACTTACACGACGAAGAACGTGGACTGTACTTTTAAGGCAATGTGACGTCACTGCCAGTGCCTTAAAAGGACGTCACATTGCCTTTAAAGGTGAGTCTACGTTCTCCGTTGTGCAAATCTATAAGTCTCTATGTTTAATCACGCTGGTACACGTCAAGTGCCATGAACACACGAACGGACTCATATTGCCCCTAAACTTTGAGATTGAGCGGAGCGAGCCAAAACAAACAATGACATTTCATGTATAGTTAACTGCTATTTTGTAAACATAATACACTAGATAAGTAATGATGTTATGTATGCGAAAGACATTCTGGAACTTCGTTGACTTCTAATTTGGGTATTTAGCACTTTATTGCCTGAAATCACATCGTTTCTAAATGAAATTGCGAAGGAGCGAGAAAAAAAGGGACACTTAGTTGTCTTTAGAGTGTTATTTCTGTAATGGATTAAGAAAAAAGATCTTTAGTTCATTTCTCTTACGGTACACCTAAAGACGTCTTGTGGCACCCAAGAGGTGAAATAACGCTGATAATTTAAAGGCAATAAAACACGAGATTAATTGCCCTGAGTTAATCTTTAGAAGGTCTAAACTACATCCTCGCTCTCTATCTCCTCCGTCTGTTCTAGTGCCAACATGACTTCACATCTGACGTCTTTTCCAGCCTCGATATCGACGTTGCCGACGGACTCGATGACGCCGCGTTTCTCCGTGCTAGTCCCTTATTCCTCTTCGGAGCCTACGAGATGGTGGCGGTATGCCAGGCCGGTCGTGGCGGCACAGATCTCACTGAAAGTGTGGTGATGGCGTCACTCAAGATGGCGGCACCTGATTCGTCTAACTTGACCTTGACTGAGAATGACCTGGAAGTAATCTTGGAATCGATCCATGACAGCTATGCCGAGTCAACGAACGCGAAGGTGAGGGACATTTAATGTTGGCATAGGTTCTTATAATACAGATATTGACTGGTGGACTTTGTGATATAACGTTATTTGGGGTGTTTAAAGGTGGTGTGTGTCTGTTTAACTATATGTGCGTATACATGAGGAATAGAAGGACCGAATGTAATTTGTTTTGTGAGTGTGTTTTGTGTTTGGTATTGTTTTTAAAAAGTTAAATCTCTATATTCAGGGCTAGAACTATGCTTTACTTTCGTTCGTTCGTGTCTCCTTAGATCAAGATTAAAAGATTATTAACATGTTTTGAACAAAGCATTGTTTTATGTTGTTGTTACGTAAACATGTGTTTAAACGAGTATTTCAAATATTCTCCTTCTGTATACTGTATTGGGTGCAAAAGAAAATGTATACATTTAGTTTGACTTGTAATTTATTTAATTTCTGAATGATGTCATTTGTATCAACTTTGTTTTGGTTTGTAGTAATTCTATTTGGAGAATTAAAACATTTCGGATTAAAAAGGAAAAATAAGGCTAGGAGTGAAAGACGCTAATTAATTACGTCATCAAAAATCTATTTTCAGCTGAGATATGACCATCTGAATGAATATATGTCCAATGGGAGCTCAGTGTTGTATGCTCTGGCTTCTAACCATTAGGAGCCAGAGCATATAACACCGAGTTCCTATGGGGAGTATATTTATTCAGATGGTCATATCTCAGCCAATATTTAACATATCTAATTGGTTTTCGACATTTGGACATTATTTTTGATGTTCTTTCGGAAAATGAAGAAAAAATTGAGAAATTCTAAAAATAGATTTTTATGACTTCACAGCTTCGGTACTCTATGTCCCATAGAAATCATATTTGGATTACCTAATACGCCATTGCCATCTTTTTAGGTGACCCACAAAATATATTAAGATTGCGTTTGGTTGATATATCGAAAGTAGTTGCTATCTTGTTTTAAATATAACTTTAACGTAATAAATTCTTAAATAAGTAGGTGTTGAGATCGATCATGAGCATTCCATCCATGGACTATCAGATGATGATTAGAAAAATCAAATAAATGCGAACTCTCTCGTTTTATCGTAAATTTAATAGTGCTTTAGCGTTGAATCTGTCTTCGACGAAACCGTGAATGACCACGAAGCAGGGGCTGACGATGACGAGCTCCAGTATGCGGCGCAGGCCGTGGTCGCCGGTCTACTACAAGGGTACTGCATAGGAGAACCCATTCTGCCCTCGACCACGGACTTCACCGAGGCAATTTTCGACACGTTTGCGACGTTGGGCGTCATTACCGAGGGAGGTGAGCATAAGAGAATACGACGATCGTAGAGACTGCCTAGAAATCAACCCACTGGGATCTTCTAAACCCTATCATGTTTCCTATGTAAAAGCATTCTGGGACGATGTAATTGTTTTGTTCGTACATTTCCAAATTCGATGCTCGACTCTTGAATTTGCTTGTAATTATAAGGTCGATGTCTCGGACAAAGAACATTTTTAGAGGACAACAGATGTTCTCCATTAACTGACGCAACAGTGACAACTTGAGACAATTCAGATACGTTGTATTTAGGTTCAAATCTTTACTTTCAAATGACATACCCCTGGATAAAATCCGTGATAATGAAGTTTTCTATGATTAATATTTCATGTTTCTTGGGCATTTGCATCTAATTTAAAAAAAAAAAAAAAAAAAAAGGGGGGGGGGGGGGGTAGGTTAAATCAGTGAGGTAAATGTCTATTTGGGTGTTTGTGCAGTGGAGCAGCGAACTTCAAATGTAAAAGTAAGTAAAATCCATTGACGATCGAATTTGCAGAGAATAATTTTTACAGACTTTTGTGAAATTCCTCGGTTGTTATGATAAAACATTATGATAACCCCTCCCCCCCCCCCCGCCACCTGTCCCTGGCTCTCCCTCTATATAGTCTAACTCAAACTCTCTTTAAACTCTCTCTTTACAACGCAACGCAGAGTTCGCGCACATGCTGATACACCTCGGAATCGGTGGGGACGATGGCCACGACCATGAACACGCCCGTAGGAGGAGGGACGTCATAGCAACACGCTCGAAGGGGCGGAGCATAGAGAAGCGAGCTACGGTATTGGCTGATGATCACGACCACGCCAATCATAGCCATTCACACGTTGCGAACGTTACAACGGTAAGATGGATTGAAATTAATGTGTTATGCAAATTGCTCACGATGCGTCAATAATTTGACACAGGACTGCGTCAACGAACTGCGCGGTTTTTTGACGCACAACACAAGGGTGGAATGATAGTGAAGAGTGACATGTTCTACGTTATACAGTAAATGTTATTTCATATCAATCTTATGTAAGATATATTCCATGTTTTGATTCACTTATGGAAACATATATTTTAATTTAACACAAACAAACTTACACACTTGTCAACAGATGAATTACATGTACGATAATGCTCGTTGTACTCAAAGCGTATTTCGATAGCCAAACTGCTTACGCTAATTATGCCTATGACGTAATCAGTATATGCGCCATTCTATAGCAATATGTTTTCACTGTTCATTTCCCAATCATTCCTTGAACAATCTTACTCTCTCATGATTCATCAAAGACCATACCAAACACAAACACAGTCCTATGTGTTTAATAGCAAAACATATATTTAAATGTTTTATTGATCATTCATAAACAAATCGCTAACTGTGTATAGTCCGCTTAGGTACTTGAACAACATCGCTGCCTATTTGACAGAAGAAACTTTCAAACAGAAACTCAAAACCAAACTCTTCCCTTAAGTCACGTCCGTATTGCTGCTGTGAGTCAGAGAGGTGATGATTAGGTGATAATTAGGTATTTCTTCATTAGCTCGAGATTGCCAAATAGCCTGCTGTTTCTGATAAGCAAATAAGCCCGAAGTTTTACAAATCGCGTTTTCATCAGCTCGACGCTCGAGCTCGAGAAATTAGCTCGAGATATTTTGCTCAGCGTTCGCGCAGACCAATTTTTCATCACTCTGACATTTAACATTCTTAAAATCAGAGAAGGCAGGGAGTATATAAAGGCCTTTAAATGGGGTTTAGTTCGATTGTGAAACTCTGCCTGAGGATTAAGTTTGAAACTCCGAAACATGTCCCATTCATTTAAATGCTATCTATGCTTTTCGATGTATTTATTTTGAGAGCTTGTCACCCTTTTGGTAAAGGCAAATATGTCGATTGCAAGGGCTCTGTTTCTTAAAACTTGTCATGAACAACAAATGCTAAATTTCTATGACAAAGTTGATCTCAGCGGATCAAAAGCCACGATTGCAGTAGCTTGTGATTGTAACTTGTTATTGGTAACAAGTTATATGAAACAGGGCTCTGGTGCATAAACCAATTGCATCCATGGGACTAATTCGAGAGTGAAAAAGAAGGAATCGAGTTGTATGATCGTACATCATTTGTTGATCAGCTGGTGATCTTTTCTCAACAGTTGGACTGTCCGGTTCAAGGAGTCAATAGGTTACATTCCTTGTATCTCAGTGTAAAATGAACCAAGTCTATAAATGTTTTCATGATCTCGCACCCGGTTATTTGAAATAGGTATTTTTCTTTCCAATTAGGCCTATTCATTTTGTCGGCAAAAGGTGCCGGATTAATGGTTCGCTAGATAATACAATAAGATTACTTAACAATGCTGTAAAAAAGCCTTTAAAAGACATTGGATATATAGGGTGAAACAGTCTTAGTGTGAATGAAATAAATAGTTTCTCATGACATGCCTTTAAAATGTCACTGAATAATCCAATGTTATATCTGACATATTATGTACATAGCCTATCAACGACAAAACGTTGAGGTATAATCAAATCCTCAGATAGGTTGTGACTTTTGCAATCAATCCCCCTCCCTTCACATCACTATTTTCACCCTAATGATTATAGATTTTAAAAGTATGGTAAAGTTTAGTTATTCTTCATTTTTGTCTTTTTGTCTTTTGGTTTTGGTTTGGTTGTATTTTCATTTTTCATTTTTCATTCTTTGAGTCAACGAAAGTCTTTGAATTCGCCTTCATTATCAGCCAAAGTTCAATAAACTCTACGTACAAGTATGGCGAATAGACTACTATATACTCTAAATCCCATCGTACAACATAGGATCCGACTACGATCTGATTTTGGAAGACATTCCATTAGCATTTGACACGAACATTCAAACATATGAAAACTTAATGACCAAAGATCTCAACAGTCATTATGATGACGAAAAATTAAGATTTCAAGGGTTTTAAGCTGGATTTAAATACTTCGTTAGAAGAGGAATAGCTAAATTGGCTCAATATCTTAGTAGAATGCCCTGTATTCTTAATAATGTACCATGTATGGACATGTTGAAAACAGCTATGTCAAGCTGAAAGCATGTATTTTAATCACTGTATTTAAATAAATAGATCAGATTAATAAAGGATTTCCCCCTGTTACTTTATACCACTCTCTCTCTCTCTCTCTCTTGTCTATAGACATGCTTTTCGAGCGAAGAACTACTTGACATATACGGTTTTGACCATGAAGCTGGAATTACCGAAGAACAGTTCAACGAACTTTCTCCGTCACTGGTGCAACAAATCTTGAGTGGAGCATGCGAAATTACAACCACTGAGCCATCGGATATCTCCAAAGCAAAAAGTGAGTAAAAATATTGTGATTTAGTGTAAATATTTAGATAGATATCACCAGCCTTGTTTTTCATAATAAATGTAATTAACTTCTTTCACTTTCTTGTTTGTTATCACTAATGCCTCCGATTTTTGGGGTTCATAGACTCAGAGGTAGTAATAATATTTTGATTTTGTGTAACTGATTAGTGATTTTGTTGATATATCACCAGCTATTTTTTTCTTAATGAATGTAATAAACTTATTTCAGTTTCTTTCTTATTGTGACTCCCGCCTTCCGTTTTGGGGTGCGTCATTGAAAGATCCCTCTCTTTGCACTTTCGCTCAGGAATTGTTTCTCCAAACAAATGTCCAAAAACTCGACATGGACTTTGTTTCATAAAGCTTGTTATAATTATCAAGATAAAAAAACCGTTCATAAACTATTAAAATTGTGGCGTTTTAGTATAATTATATTTGGGTGAGAGCAAATTTGTATGAAGATAAAAACACGTTTTTATGAAATAGGGCACTGATCTCCTCTGTATGAAGACATACAAATTTAAGTTTATTTATGAATGAATAATTGCATTGTATTTATCTATTTACGGTGAAAACTCACGTAATTGATAATCAAAACTCAAAATCAGACTACTTGAATATATTTGATGGAATCCGTCGTTTGATAAATAGATAGAACTTATCATTGATGGTCACTTTGCCATCAATGGTAACTTCAATAAAATACTTGATTTTGATTGGCTGTTGGGCAATGTTACCGTGGAAGTTACCAATGATGGCAGATCGATATACCATTAATGATAATTTTATTCAGCAGGACCCTAATACATGTATTTGATAAAGTTGATCTGTTGTTTGATAAATAAATATTTTATTATTTTAATAATCGATTTTGTATGCTATTCTATTGTATCCTCTTAATCAGTGTGGGGATACGGCACTCTAGCAGTTTTCATCATCAGCCTGTTTGCGGTGCTCGGCGGGTTGTTCGTCCCGTGTATGTCAGAGGGTTTTTATGACAAGACCATACAAACAATGATAGCTTTAGCCGTGGCTACTCTGACTGGTGATGCTGTCTTACATCTTTTACCACAGGTAAGCAATGGGCAGTTTATCCCTAAAAGGGACTTCACCACTCTTTCTTGTTGTACTTCAGCCCTTTTCTATGTTTACTGGGAATGCTGTCTTACCACCATCTTTGAACCAGAGGAAAGCAATGAATATTGAAATCTCGAAAGGGGATTCTACCATTCTTTGTTTTCTTGAGACTATTTAATACTGACTGGTGATGCTATATTACACCTCTTACCATAGGTATTCGATGTTCATTGATATGTCGAGAAGGGAATCATACCATTCTTTTTTCTTTTTTGAGCCCTTTTGTATGCTGACTGGTAATGCTTTAAATTGAAGTGATTGTAAAAACACCAAGTTTTGTCATTATTTTAGCGTGTAAACAATTGATTTGTCCTGATATATGTTTCTTGAGATGTGACATATCAAAGCTAACATCTGAAAGTATTCATTAAAGGCCCTCATATAACCAGTCCATCTTTCGTTCTTGGAATACGAAAGGGGGGGGGGGGGTCAAATTTACATGGGGTAGGCATATGAATAATTTAGTTGTTAACTTATTGTAATTTGTCTCATTATATGCATTATATTATATTACCTCTATCGCGCAGTGGAAATCGAATTTCCTGATATGGTCAATACATCATGTTCTTATTCATACTTATAAACGTTTCTTTCTCAATCTCGTGCAGGCTGTGGGTCTCCACACCCACGACAGCAGCGATCACAGCGCTCATACGCCTACGAGCCCGGAGATGGCGTATATCTGGAAGTGTCTCGTTGTCGAGATGGCCATCTACGTCTTTTTCGTCTTCGAGCAGCTGACGAGTTTCACGAAGGTAGGCCACAATTTTAAATCATGTGAATTCCAGAAGGCGCGATAGATCAGTTGGTAGAGCAGTGTTCTCGTAATTCGGCGACCCCGGTTCGAAACCAAGGTGCTAGTGCCCTTCGGTAAGGCATTAATCCTCATTACCAGGTCTCTCGGTGAGTTCCTATATGGTTGCTTACTAACAATTTATGCTTTCTTAGCAGTCAGGTAAAATAACCACCACTACAATAATCAATTGAACAGTCTTTCAATAGCTATATTATTTATAATGAAAGCATAAGGGCGGTGGGATTTTGCTTCTCTATAGATCCACGGCTCGCTGTACCTTGAACAACAACAATGATTTTGCATCTTTTGAATTACTGGATGTCACACTCAATCTGACACCTTCATCTGCTGTAAGGTTGTACTGTATTTATCGACCACCCCCGTCTGCCAATAATAATCTCTCCAACGGCACATTCTTGGATGAATTTCCAACTCTCCTTGAAGGTGCTGTTATAGATGATCATTTTCCTCTATTATTGGGTGATTTCAACATACATGTTGATGATCCCAATGATAATTTTGCAAAATCTGTTATGACATGTGTTGATTCGTTAGGGTTCAAGCAACATGTTCGTGAACCAACCCATCGCGCAGGTCACACTCTAGATTTGATTTTCACAAGGAATTCGGATGATGTCTGCAACGTGAACTCGCTATCTTCCATGCCTTCCGACCATTGTGCACTTGTCACCACTGTCAATATCGCAAGGCCGAAGAATCCCAAGAAAGAGGTTTCCTTCAGGAAATATCGCAGCATTGACAAGGACTCTCTACGCAACTCTATTGACACAATGTTCCATTCACTTCCTGATCTATCTTGTCCTTCTGCTTCCGCGGAGCATTACAACTCATCTTTGCGGACGTTGATTGATGAGCACGCTCCAATCCAGGTCAAGACTGTATCAATCAGACCTGATGCGCCATGCTTTACCGATGATATCCAGGAAGCCAAGAGGCGAAGGCGTCGTGCGGAACGTCGTTCGATCAAGTCTGGACTTTTTGTTGATAGAGAGCTGTACCGCCGTGAATGCGAGTCATATTATGAGTGCATCTTCAATGCGAAGTCAGCGTATCTCAAAGATCTCATCAAGAATGCTGACACTAAAGAACTGTTTCGTCTTGTGAAGACACTCTCAACGCCCACTCAATCTTCACCTCTTCCAGATCATTCTTCTGATAGTGAACTCGCCAACAGATTTGCTACATTCTTCAGGGAAAAAGTCGCCAAAGTTGTATCCTCTTTCCCTAATGTAGTACCAGCACCAGCTTCAAGATCTTTTGCTCCAGGCCCTTGTCATGAACTCTCTGATTTCTGCCTTGTATCCCTCTCACAAGTCAGGAAGCTCATCACTTCACTTCCTTCTAAACACTGTAAGCTAGATCCGATTCCTACCTGGCTTCTAAAGGAAGTCCTCGATGAACTCCTTCCTCACATAACCAAACTGTTCAATCTCTCGTTATCATCCGGAATAGTTCCAGAGTCTTTTAAGACTTCTCTGCTTCTTCCCCTCCTAAAGAAGCCGAGTCTCGACACGAATGGACTTAAGAACTACAGGCCCATCGCAAACCTGCCATTCCTTGGGAAGGTTTTGGAACGTATTGTGTCACTACAGCTGAAAGCCCACATTGACAGTCTCGGTTTGTTTCCAATCCACCAATCTGCCTATCGGAATCATCATTCTACTGAGACTGCAACTGTCAAGGTCCTAAATGACCTACTTCTAGCTGTAGATAAGGGTAATGAAGCTGTCCTCATCTTGCTTGATTACACTGCCGCATTTGACACTATCAACCACGACCTGTTACTCCATCGCTTAGAGAACGACTTCTCCATCACCGGCACCGTACTTCAATGGATTCGCTCCTATCTCATGCACCGAACTCAGAAGGTGATCATCAATGACACCAACTCGGAATCATTTCCCCTCATCTGCGGCGTTCCTCAGGGTTCCGTGGTCGGCCCCTTCCTGTTTATTCTTTACACCAGCCCTCTCTCAAATGTTATTAACCTTCATCAGAATATTCAACACACTATGTATGCAGACGACACCAAGATTTATGTAACTCTTCACCCAAACAGCAGGACAGTAGCCGCGAACAAACTCACCAGTTGCCTCAATGAAATCAAAACCTGGTCTTTTCAAAACTGTCTCTGCCTTAATGATTCAAAATCTGAAATGATTCATATTACTTCTAAATTTCGGAACTCAGACCCCTTTCCTGATCTTGTTATGAGTGATGGCTCTCTCAGTTGTTGTGCTTCTGTGCGTGACCTTGGTTTAAATATTAAATATTGACAGCAATCTTACTTTCAAACAACACATTAGTAATATTTGTAAATCTGCTTCCTTTGGTATATATAAGATCAGTAGAATCAGGAGGCTACTTGACCGACCCACAACTTCAAAATTAGTCCATGCTTTTGTCTCGACCCATATCGATTACTGTAATTCTTCTCTTTCTGGCCTCCCTCAGTCACATCTAGTCCCACTTCAAAGGGTACAGAATAGCGCTGCTCGGCTTGTGACTCTCTCGCGTAAATCAGAGCACATAACTCCAATATTGAACTCACTACATTGGCTTAAAATTCACCACCGCATATCCTTCAAAATTCTTCTCCTGTGCTACAAAGCTATCAATGGCTTAGCCCCCTCTTACCTTTCCGATCTCATATCCTTACGTTCCCGTACGTCGTCACGAACACTTCGTTCATCTTCCACATTACTGTTAACACCTGGACCCCGCACTAACACCCGGTATGGTGACCGCGCCTTTTCAGTTATTGCCCCCGCTCTCTGGAACAAACTGCCCGCCTTTATTCACTGCGCCCCCTCTGTATCTCAATTCAAATCTCTACTCAAAACCTATCTTTTCAAATTGTAAATTGCAGTTGTGCGTCGGTCAATGGAGGTGCGCACCATATTTGTCTTTATTTAGTTGATTGCCACTGTTTTTCTTACCTTATCTAAGTTACTTTTGTATTTTTGCTTTTTCTTCTAATTTAATTGTACGGGTTATAGTCTTCTCTTAATCAGAACATTGTGCGCTTAGAAACATCAGTATTAAGCGCCTAATAAATGTTATGTATTATTATTATTATTATAACAAAAACAATAGTTATAACTTGCTTTTTCGCAGTGAAAGCAAATTAAAGATAAAAAACCTAATGTGTCTTCTTCTCCGAACAGATAACGAGTTTCATGAAAGTAGGCCGCCATTTTAAACTAAAATGATGCGTTCTGAACTGTCTTTCGATTGTTTTAAATTGCTTGGTCGGAATAAGCAGATACAAAAACAACAAAAAATCAGAGAAATACATATGTGCGTTCTTCGTCTAGGAGCAAATTAAGAGCTTCATAAAGGTAGTAATATTACTAATAAGATCGATAACGCAGCTACTATATTCTATTGTGATATTTTCATTATGTTTACCTGAACTTTTTGTGATATTTTGAATACGGTTTATGAACTATACAAGAAATGTCAGACTCACATACAAGAAGAAAATATTAATCAAACAGTTAACAAATATAGGCTTTCATGTTAAAAAACACGGACCCCTTCGTCCTCCTCTTCAACAAATCCGGAAAAGAAACTAGGAATCTATTTAATAACTAATAAATCTACATTTGACGAACATTTATAACGCGAATTTGTTGACCAAAAAAAGAAAGGAAAACAAAAATATTATAACGCATGACTGCTTTGTTCGATGGTATAATGAACGAAAACCGAAGACATTCAACCAGAAAATGAATATAAAACAAACTAATAACGAGTAAGAAACAGGCAACAAACAAATACAAACATAAAAAAGCAGAGAACACCATGAACATTGAATTCTAGATTTGTGACGAAAATTATATTACGTAACAGTTAATTTGCGACCATATCGCGGTAATGTGCTTTATAGAAGGTTGAAAATCGCTGAGGAAAACCGTTATCGACCTTTGGTAGTTCTACATACATTTTGACGAAAATTGATAATACTGCCTTTATTGGTTTTGATCAAATACAAGAATGGTTGTAAGCCCCATTTATCAAAGCAAAATAACAAACGCATGAGTAAGCAAATACATGCAAGCATGAAAACAATCTGACAGTCGATGTTTCTAACATCGAATTGTGTGCGAATGTATTTTCTTTGCGTTCAAACCCCCGTTGTGATCGTTTGTCATTATTTCCTTTTTATTACGAATTCCCAGTTAAACGTCTTTAATAACATCCCCCCGTCACCAACGTTACTATAATGATGTGTGTGAGAACAACGTGCATTTAATTACACGTTCTCAGTTTGTGTGTGTTTATATTTCCATAGTAGCGAAAGTTACGCTATGTAGCGCGCTGTTGTGCCTATGTAGGTTTTCTAATATGACACAACAGTGCACTGTCTCCAGTGCGCGTAATGAAGGTTAACACGTATGGCGGGTCTTATGCTAAGGCTTTTAGGTAAGGAGGGGGGGGGGCGTTGGCTTTACTCGGTAAATAAAATGGGAATAAACGAATCAAAATAATTAATTGAAGGGTGCCTCGTACCTTCTTCAAATCTCGTCATCCTCCCTTCCCCTTCTCTCTCTCCCTCTCTCTCCTCCCTCCTACCCACCCTCTATAAATCTCTCTCTCCCTCTCTCCCAATCTCTCTCCCTGTCCCTCTCCCTCTCTATTCTTTCGATACTAAAACATAATAATGTGATATTTCATCGTCATTGTCTATTATCAAATGATTACATTTTTTTCTTTAAATGATTTTATTCACTTTTGACAGTGTGGTCACTCCCATCACAGCCATACACAATCGGCGGATGTAGAGATGACAGCTAACGGGCAACGAGGGCGTGCTATGTCGGGACAAGGATCATTTGCTACTGGCAAAAATGGAGTATCTCACTCAGAATCGAAGATGGAACTAGTAAGCTTCACTTTACCTCTTCTCTTTGCTTCTTGAATATATATACATGTTTGCGAGTGCATTAGTGGATGTGCACTCCACGCAGGGTAAGTCACAGTAGGATAATGAACGAGACTTGCCGAGTTCATTGTTCGTCTCATTGTGACTTAACCAAGTGCAGTGCATATTACTAATGCACAAGCTAAAGACATGTACTATTTTTTTCATAATATGAGTATAAAGTCGAAAAGTTGATGGTTATTAAAGCCCATTGTCCTACTTGTAGCTATACTTGCTCCCTCTTTATAGAAAACTTCCCAAATCGGTGCCTGTTGTTCCCCCGTGATCCTCTTGTTCTTATGTTAGTTGAGAGCTGAGTTAATGAGAAAGCCACCTGTCAGTGACCTCGCTGTGGGGTCTAATCCCTTCTGGCCCAGTAGTATTGACGGTCTTTAAGATCGTTAGAAATTATTCTCAACTTGTCTCATTAACGGAGGACATCTATTATCCTCCAAAATAGACCGTCTTCCGAATACTTCTGCAGTCACACCGAAAAAATACCCTGACTCCAGTCCGATTCTCAACCAAACTGACTGTCTATTTGCCATTCATTCTAATGACATGTGTACATCGGTATGTTGTCGGTCCCGAGAAGGGCCATGTTTCACAGAACTTGTCATCAGTGACAAATGACAGTTTTTGTTATAAGCTACTGAAATCCTTGCTTCTGATTGGTTATCAGCAGATTTGTCACTCAAATTTTGTCCTTTGTCATTGAAAAAAGGCTTTGTAAAACGGTTCCTGGTTTGCCTGAATTACCTTATCACAATCATGCTTCGGTCATACCGCCAAATCGACGACAAACCGACCGATTTTTCGGGGGTGATTGTCCAGTGGGTAATTGTCCTGATACGGTATTTAGCAGCTCCACATAGTAACGGTGCGGTTTTTCGTAAGATACCAAAGTTTATCGTATCATTTTCTTCTCATTCATAGACAGCTAATGAGGCAAAGGCATTTGAAACTGAAACACCTCTCCCGACCGAAGATACTGATTGCTGTGTAAGGGGTAAGTTTTGAATTTCGTCACGCAAAGCCTGAAGCCACTAATGATGGTGGTGGTGGTGGTTGTAGTAGTAGTAGTAGTAGTAGTAGTAGTAGGAGTAGTAGTGGTAGTAGTAGTAGTAGTAGTAGTAGTACAGTATAATAATAATAATAATAATTATTATTATTATTAGTAGTAGTAGTAGTGTTTAGTAGTAGTAGTAGTAGTAGTATTAATAGTACAGTCTAGTAGTAGTAGTACTATCAGTAGTAGTAGTAGTAGTAGTCGTAGTCGTAGTAGTAGTAGTTGTAGTAGCAGACGTAGTAGTAGTAGTAGTAGTAGTAGTAGTACATATAGCTCCGTTTAGACTCATTTCACAACGCCCCCTATCGTCAGAGTCAGCAGCCATACATGTTAGCCTATGGAATTGTACCCCCCAAAAAATCGTTAAAAATTCATTTTTTGTTTAAACGAAAAGCACATCCACCCCGACTTACGTTATCACTAGCTCTTTCATTGGAACCCTCATGTCCCATTGACTTTTGGAAGTTCACCCACCGTAATTTGATCAAAATAGGTTGCAAGCTCGTCATTGCCTATAATACACATGTGAAACAAGTCGAACTTTGGACTCAGTTTGCCAAGCGATTTTAAGATTATAAGTCAAGCACACGAAGGATAAGAAGCATGAATTATCATAGATCACTTCTGCTTGATTCATTATGTCCATTTCATCCAACCCCCACCGTAATTTGTCCATTTAGTAAAAGCAAAAATTTTGCCGAGGTAAGCAAACACATAAATATTCATGAACGGTTAGGCAATACAGCCTTTTAGTACGTAACGTATAGTGAACAGGATTGGGCGATGATCCGTCCAGGAGGTAGAGTTCAGTGGTTTGTGCTGGCAATGTTCCTGCGAGCGAAAATGAGACAATCGGAGCAATAAGGTAGTAGTTGTAGTAGTAGTAGTAATAGTAGTAGAAGTAGTAGTTGTAGTAGTAGCAGCAGCAGCAGTAGTAGTAGTAGTAGTAGTAGTAGTTTATGAGAATCATGAAAGACTCTTTAATACTAAACAAAAACTCCCAGGTTATCATTTGATCATATTTTAGTTCGAATGTAAAATAAGTATTTATATTGCTCATCTCTCCATAATCTGGGCCAGAATTATATTCACACTATGAAGCCTAAGATGCTATTTTAGTACTGATATTATTTGTATTTCGACTGTTCAATGACACTATTAGGTATTTTAAGTATCCTTTTTTTAATAGATGGGTACATTTATTTTGTATCATTCATCTCTCCATACCTTTGGTTTCAATCGAATATTATTGAATTTCATTACTAATAGCCTACCATTATTTTTAGTCCTTGTCTATTTTTTTTTTAAATTTCTTTGACTGTTTATGATTCTGTTTTCTTCTTCTTCTTTCAAGGTTGCAATCCGGTAGCGATGATGATACTCCTGGGCGACTCGTTGCATAACTTCGGTGACGGTCTAGCGATAGGGGCAGCATTCTCCCTGAGCATCGCTGCCGGACTCTCAACTAGTATAGCTGTCCTCTGCCACGAGATCCCGCACGAACTAGGTAACGAACCTCGTCTACCACCGATGATAGTGATGATGGTGGTGATGATGGTGGTGATGGTTACGGTGATGATGAAGATTATAATGATGATAAATAGTGCTAAAAATGGTTTCGATGATGATGGTTGTGGTGACGATGAAAATGATTGTGATGTGGTTGATGTTAGGGATGACGATAATAATAAAGACCTACCAATAACTGATCCTAAATACCATGCAAGTAAAATAGCTTTCGAAATTGATGTCCAGTTACATTTTTGCGTACAGTGAATTTAAAGCCCCACTGTACTACTTGTAGCTACTTGCTCCCTCTATATAGAAAACAATGCCTAAGCGGTGCCCGATGGTCCCCCACGATCCTCTTTTTTCATATGTTGAGAGCTGATTTGATGAGAAGCCACCTGTCACCGACCACGCTGGGTGGTCTAATCCCTCCTGGCCAAACTAGACGGACGGGCTTTAAATTAATTGTTAGACGCTATTCTAATTTGTTCTCTCTAGGTGATCTGGCCGTACTCATGAAGCAGGGCATGCGACTCCGAACGGCACTCCTGTTGAATATGATTTGCGCTTGTTCGGCATTCATCGGCTTGTGGATCGGGATCCCGCTGGGACAGACCGAGACCGCTCGGGAATGGATCTTCGCTGCTGTTGCTGGCATGTTCTTCTACGTTGGACTCGTTGACATGGTAAGCGGCAGCTGCACGATCTTCCCCGAAGTTTTCCGATAAACTTACCGAATCGTTCCGAAGATATGTTTTTAATTTCCGCAAATGTACCCGAGACTTTCTATAAACGATTTTATCCGAATTCGGATCTTCACGAATCTAGGCCAAGCTAGATACCTTAACAATATGTATATGAAATGTGTATGCCTTGTGGTAATCAATTTAGATAGCAATAGAGATAACAACTCAGGATCTAAAAAAAACCTATAATTTATGTTTTCATTTATTTCCTTTCTAATTAATAACGTCAGAAATTGTTCTCTCTTTACCCTGCAAAGTAGACATATAAGTATCATTTGATCAGAAATGTTTAGAAACATGAAGGGAATCTCATGTTAATGTATATCCTTTACATTCCATACTTCTAAATTTACAGAGGCCACTGTTTCGTAAAAAATTATCCCTGGTTCTAATGGGCCCAGTGATACGATTTTTAGATATTTTTGGGCAATTAGTTTTAATAGCTACGTACATAATGTTTGGCCTTCTACGTGTACATAATCAACATCTGTTTTGCAAAATGAACATATAGCATAACAAAATTATAATTAAGTTCCCTAGCGTGAAGGCTCCTGTTGCCTCTTCAAAAAGGCTTTCATAATTTAAACGGAAGTATAATCCTCGCTAATGTTATTATGAAAGGAAGTACAGTTCCAATCTGTTATAACGAGGTCCTTGAGACCATGGAAATTACCTAAATTGTTATATCAGGTTAAAAACAAATATATATATATATATAGAGAGAGAGAGAGAGAGATGGGACCAGCATTAATCACCTTGTTATAACAGATACCTTGTTTCATCAGAGCGCCTTATATCGAGGTTCCACTGTATAAAAGAAGGTAATCATTTTCCTTATCCTTTTCAGCTTCCGATGTTACACCAATACGACGGGAAAAGCAACAAGGTCACCGTGGCTATTCTGCAGAATATTGGATTCTTGGCGGGAATTGGGATTATTCTGTTAATAGCGCTGTATGAGGACGCTATTACAGTATCTATATAGGGAAATGTGAGGGTGAAGAGATACAAATGGGACATATAACATAATGCAGAGGCGGCCCTCCCGGGGGGCAGGGGGGCACAGTGCCCCCCCCCCCCACTTTTTCAAGCACCCGTAAAGTGCCCCTTTTTACATAGAAATAGTGCCCCTTTTACTTTGACAAGTGCCCCTATTAAAGTGCCCTTCCCTTTTTTTAACTCTGAGAATGGCTCCTTTTACTTGGGCACGTACCTCTTTTCATTCGAGAAGTTCTTATTTTCCTTTGCAAGAAGTGTCCATTTTCCATCTTCATAAGTGCCCGTTTTAATCTCTAGTAAGTGCCGCTCGTTAGGTACGAGAAGTGCCTCTTTTCACTATTAATAAGTGCCCCCTTCACCTCTGATAATTATTGTCCTATTTAATTCTGAGAGGTGCCTCTTTTTACTTTGACAAGTGCCCCTTTCCCTTTGTAAGGAGTGCCCCTACCCTTTTATTAACTAACCCCATTTTAACTCGGATAAGCGCACCTTATATTTCCACATGTGCCCTTTTTCCTTTCTAATAAGTACCCCTTTTTCTAATGATAAGTGACCCATTAAAAAGAGCCCCTTCCCTTCTCATAAGTGCTCCTTCTCTGGTAAATGACCTTTTGCAGGTACGAGAAATTACTCCTTTTCACTTCAGATAAGTGCCACGTTCACCTCCGATAAATCCCCTATTAAAATCTGATCGGTGCCCAACTTCTTTCAACTAATGCACATGTTCCTTCATTATAAGTGCCCCTTTTTATATCTGGTCATTGCCCCTTTTCAGGTGCGATAAGTGCCCCTTCTCACCTCTGATAATTTCCCTTTTAACAATGATACGTGCCCTTTTCCTTTCTAATAAGGGACCTATATTCCCTTTTCATAAATGCCCCTTTTCACCTCTTATAATTGCCCCTATCAAAATTTGATGGGCCCCCTTTTCAACGACAAATACCCATTTCCTATTCTCTTTACTGACTTTTTTCATCCCTGGTGAGTGCCTTTTTTTGAGGGTGTAAGAAGTTCCCCATTTTCACTAATTACTCTTAGTACTTTGGCACATGCTCCTTTTCATTCCTGATAAGTGTCCCCTTTTCCTCTCATCATTAAACGCGCCTTAGCTAATTTCAAGCGACTAAGAGCAATTTCCCCCAAAGATCGCTCGCTACGCTCGCACGCATCTATAGATGATATACTTATCAAAGATCATTTCAGCCTTCCGTCATGAGAATGTGCTTATAACCCCATTAGGATTGGGTTTTTTCCTCTTTAAAGTAGCTTGGCGAAGAAATTTCACATAATCATTAAAAATGGGCAAATTATACATGTCCGGATAGCGTAGACCAATATGAAGACACACATTCTGCTCTAAAGTCTTGTAAATATAAATGAAACGCGGTAAAAAGCTTTTTCCAAGAACCTTAATTCTCAGAACTACAATTCCTGGCTTTAACATTTTGTTTGCGCAGTAGGCCGATTATGACGTCCCTGCATGGTTGGGCACGATCGCAATTCTCGGCCTCAAGCTCGCCTCTCGCACAGCTCGCGTGCGGTATTTTGCATAGCTATACATTATCCAGACTTTGCATGCTTTATATCCTGACCAGAAAGTGGAATAACAATCTCTAGAAATCATGTAATTAAATGTAATATTAAGCAAATTTATGTAATATAATAGTATACGAGGGGTGAATCGTGTAATTTGATTTGTCCAAATACCCTACCGTCCTGTGTAATTTGCTGGGATGTTTTGTATTTGTTCGGTCATCATGCCTTGGCGTGATAGTGATTGTTGTTGATTATACGGAGACCATGATGAGTGAATCGCGGGCGTCCTTGTGTATTATTTTGTATGATGTCCTGCAGGCTGCAGTTCTATTTATGAATGGTGCATATTTGTAATTGATTTTCGCCAAATATAATCTCACATCTAATCATCTTTGTTTTATTATCCGTGAAATTTGCCAAAAAGCCCCACACATCCCGAAAAATTTGAAAATGTCTCGCCCAGTCATGACAGATCGATCGCCAGTTAAGCGGGGCCGGGGGAGCTGAGCGGCAGCTGGCAACTCGGCCAGCTCGCGCTGATATGCTATCACTTGACCTGTACCAGCATCGACGCCGTCTTCTCCGAATTGTTCTCTTTCTTCCATCTCTCCTACATCCCCATCACCATCATCATCATCATCACTATCACTACCAGTACCATTATTGTGGAGCTGTGCCCATCAACTTCGAATTCTAATTCGAGTAAAACCTCTTCTTCGAGGTCGGACATTTTGATCAGATATTTAGCGTTCGAGTGGCGTTTGTAAACGTATAATGCATGCAGGCGAGAGTTGTGTGAGAGCTTGAGGATCGCACTCTCGCTCATGTGCCCAACATACGTCACAAATCGTACATCACAATAGCGGGCCGATCAAGGGCGGAATAATCGGGTAGTAATTTCACCACTTTTAAAAGCAGATAAGTCAAAGCTGTAACAATTTTTGAAACCTAAATATGAACCATTCGAAAGATTGTAACATTAACTTTGCAATGATGCCAACATTATTAAGGTTAAAAGCCTTTTGAAACCTTCGCTCAGCTTGTTTAAAAGATCTAATTTTTCGCACCGCAACCTCACTCATCATAACATTTTTCCTCGCTCGCTTCGCTCGCTCGCAAACATGGTTTTAGACAATCAAAACCAACTGAAAATCATGATGCTTAAGCAATATCTTGTATGGTGTAAAAGTGAAACAAAATGAACCATCCCTGATAATTGTAATCACAATGTAGGGGTATATACCAATGTCTAAAAAATTGTATATTTTCACTGTGAGATTTCCCTTTGTAGGTGCCCTTTTTTCCAGAAAGTGCCCTTTTTTCTTGGTGCCCCCTCCCACTTTGGAAATCGCTCGGCTGCCCCTGACATAATGTGCGTGTGTGTGTGGGAGAGAGACAGAGAGAGACAGAGGGGAGGAGGGGGAGGGGCAGCAACACTACCCAACGAGACAACAATCTTCTTATTACCATATTCCAGTGTTATGAACTCTTTGTAAACAGAAAACCTAAAGGATGTCGACATCGTGAGAGCCAGAATCTCGTCATCTGATCATCTGTTCGATGAGATCCGGGATCTTGCCCTCTTATATCTGAGTGGCACTTTTAAGCCTTCACAGTCTTGCACATCTTTTAAAACATTTTTTTGTCGAACATTGAATTAAGTCATGTGACATTTTGTCTTTGCATGTCAGCCCCCAAATCGCTATTTGTTGTTGTTTGTGTAATTATTCAAAATGGTGTAAAGAATATATGAAGTGAAAACGAATGTTTCAATATGAAGAATATACAATTTATGGGTAAAAATGTGAATTGTACGACCTCGTTTGCATAAATTACCATAAATATGCAAATTAGTGAATTTTCCAAAAATTGAAATTACCAGTTTGTATTCTATTTTTGGCGGCGATCGGCCTTTTCATGGCCGAGGTCTAAGGAGGGTGGGGGGGGGGGGGGGCATTGCTAGAGGTTGCATGATATAATCAATATATATTATAATTGCATCGAGAACGAAGCGGATATCTTACTGAACACATAAATGCTGCAAATTCTATTCACATATGAAATTATATGGACGCTCTTGTGATATGCAATAAATTGTTCATTTCATAATATTAGTATCAATTATAGCCTCTTTTTACTTCACGACGAAGAAAGTCGAACGATAAATTTAGAGAACATGAGAGAAAGGTAGAATAAATGCAACAAGAATGGTAGGTCTGAGAAAAGAGTAGTCCAGAATCTGGCCAGTTCTTTATATTCCCTGCCTACACAATCATTTGATTCAAACCGCCGAAGATGGCGTTATCAACGAACCCATAATTATGCTCTAACCAGCCCAGCCTGAGAATTTTTGTTTCGCCGGGCGTCCTAATTTAATATCTTCGGCTGCTAAGGGGAAGTAGCGTTTGTGTGGTGGGGATCAACATTAAATCCCGGCCCCCCCCCCCCCCCCCCCCCCCCCCCCCCCCCCACTCAGAGGTCGGAATGACCGCATGCGTGTTGCCAAAATGTCCGGTAAAGGGGTATTTTTCGTGCGACAAAGTCCGGCCCGAGAATTGTAAAAAAAGGGGTGTATTTGACTTTCCACCCTGAGATTTCTTTAAAAAGGGGGTGTTTTTCTTTTTTTCTCTCATCTCTTTGGACTCCTGAGAAATTATTCCGAATTTAGGGGGGTACATTGAGCATTTTTCCTGATTTAGGGGGGTCTCCAAGGCAGGAAAAGCCCGCGAAAAGCCCGCGAAAGGGGGGTTTGGAAATGTTGGCAGTCCTCAGATAGGGGGTGCTTTCAAAAAGAGGGTACGAGCATATGCGTACCCTAAATAACACTGAGTGGGGGGGGGGGGCCGGGCATTAAATAGGCCAGATTCTGGACTAAGGAAAATGGAGCAATAAGCAATGAGAGGGATAAGAGAAAATAAATGGGGGAGAGACAGAAAGAGAGTGGGAGATGGCGAAATTCGATGGAGAGGGAAAGAGAGAGAGAGAGAGAGAGGGAGAGAGAGAGAGAGAGGGGGGGGGGGCGTAATAGAACTTTTTACATATTTTATGCAGACCTTTGGAATGAAGATTCTCTTGACGACTAAACAGCTCGCCAAACATTACCCCGACATTTCGTGAATAAAGGTGTATGCCTCACAAAAATTTGGGTAACCTGACCATGTGATTTAAAGTACGCCTCATAAAGCTAGTGTCCTACTTCTTCCACTGAATTTCTGCTTAGTACTCTTTTTATTTTCAATTGACCCCATAACAATGCTCAAAATTGGCAAGCATTATTATCAGAGCTACCAAGTGTCACGCATTAGGCGTGACGTCACGCATTTGGAGGGTCTGAAAACGGCTCTCACGCACGGCGCGCGCGCTAGATTAAAAAAAAAACGCCATACCTATACGTGTGTTATACCCTCGCACGCGCGCTCGCGCGCCGAAAAATGAAAATGTCACGCATTGCCGATCTTTTACCTTGGCGTCTCTGTGTTATGTCCAATAATCACACTGAAAAATATCACATTTACAAGAGGTATGAATAATTAAGTTGTTGACTGTATGTCCACTACCATAAGCATTGAAATCTCTCATCTCTAACAAGGCAATGCAGTTTAAGGAGAAAGTTGAGTTCTGGGAAGAGGTGAAAAATAATTTGTGAGCATTACTCATTCTTATTATGCAAGTGTGGAAGAACATCAGTTAAGACACATTCCCTGAAAAGCATGGCTCTTCAAATGCCGTCATATTCTAAATATGAATGTAACATCGTAAAAATCGGGGGGGGGGGCGGCTTTTTACGCCACGTGTTCGTGTAGTCCCATATACATCTTTCTGTGCAAGTGTTTGTAACTTTACCAAGACTTGGCCACATTTCTTATCATTTTGATGATTCCAGAACCTTGCAAAACACACAAAGTCTTATATGCTAGATGATCAACCTTTTCTGGTCGGTTCCACACCGTTTCTTTCACAATGCAATCACATGACCAGAACTCAACTTCATCTTTTATACAAGACCGTTTGAAGATAAGCTTGAGTAGTTGTAATGATATAAAATAAATTCTCACATAATCCAACAAAACTTACACCGAATGTTCAAGATAATCAATTAATGACATGCACCAAACGATTTTGGTAGGAAATGTATAGGGGCCGAGTAGAGAGCTTAGAAGGAAATGGAAACCCTGGTAGATAGGCTTAACACCATGTGCTTATGATGAGGAAATCTGTGTAAGTAGGCTCGGCACCAAGTGCTTATTTAAACACAGGTCCTTATGTGCAAATGAGAGTTGTGGGGGGGGGGGGGGGTTGTAAAGATGATATCCAGCAATATTTTGTGAGGTTTTTTTTTTTTATCTTACTGGTTCAAACAATCAATCTACTTGGGCACAAACAATCCAGAATGAAAAAAATAAAGCCATGTTCTAGACCTCAAGATTAATGTACATGTAGCTTACAATTCAAATAACACAACAATGCCAAGAAAAATACATTTTCAAGGAAAATTTTATTGTACAGAATTAATCTCATATTACACTTGTACATAACACAACAAGACTACGAGGGTTGTCGCATGAGCATAAGTAATTTAGAATTACAAGTGATGGTCAAGAATTCATACTAAAAATAATCTCTTTCAACAAAAATAAATACTGTGTGTACGTAGTTCATCAAAGTGGCAAGAATGCAATGATTTACAACAAAACTGAGGAATTAATGAATAAATGTGATTTAAATTATATGTCCTTTAGCACGGTTGCAATTGCAGTGATCTAGCATTTCAAGGAATTACATCTTGTCATTCTGACTATCCTTCCGACTATCCTTCTGACTATCCTTCCGACTATCCTTCCGACTATCCTTCCGACTATCCTTCCGACTATCCTTTCGACTATCCTTCTGACTATCTACCGCACCCTTGGTGTAGAGAGGCAAACCAGAGATGCTCTTAAAGATCTTCATTCTTGACACTGTTTCATAAAACTGGTTATCAATAACAAGATGCAATGATTGTTTAATGAGATACTGAAATTAATTGCACTGATTGGCTGTAAGCATATATGTCACAGATCTGTGGCAGATGTTATCGATAACAAGTTTTTTACAAAACAGGACCAATCTTTCCCTCTTACACAAATTTTCTTGAGACACCACCAATGAGAGCAATTTCTTCTGTTTATTATTGTAATTCTACTCCTATATAGGATGAAGTGAATACCGGTAGTGTTCTGTAGCGAGACAAAAGGTCAATAATTAACTGACATCATTGAACAAAAAGTTACTACCCATCTAGAAAGAAAACTGCACAAAAGGAGCAGGTCAAGTGTATTAAAGATGACTGGGGCCCGGCGATCAATACCATCAGACCAATTGTGGGTAGGATGCATACATGTGATGACAGCAATCTAACAAATCTTAAACTTTTAATCTTGAAAGCCATTTGCAATGCTAATAATAACTTCAGAAATTATACTGATCGTATACCTCACCTTCTGAATATTCATTTTCTTTTTCTCTGTTCTTCTCCATTATGGCAAATGGGGACATATTTTGTCATGCGCTATAAGTGTGCTATTATTACTATCTGTACAGATTGAGAACAGATCTTCTGAAATTATACAATTGCAGCTTAAAAGAATTAGTGTATGGATCACTAGCACTCTCGATATGAATACTTATAATAAATACTACACCTTGTTTGCACAAAACTTACCATTGGTGGTACCTTTGCCATCAGTGGTAACTACCATGGAAACCTTGATTTTGATTGGCTGGTGAGCCCTGTTACCATGGTAGTTGACATGATGGCAAAGTTACCATCAATGGCAACTTTTATGCAACTGGGCCAAGGTCTCCCTTCACTACACTTGGGTGGAGAGTAACAAATGCATATCAAAGGGCATTAATTTCTTGCCAAATGGCATTAACATCGCAGAGGAACTCGAACCGTGAACCATGAAATTCACAGTTTAGCCACGTTTTCACTAGACCGCAACATCTCTGAACTGCATGCTCAGGTATATGGAGTAAGATTTAAAAGAATTGCACTTCTTACTTCAAGAGCCTGTTACCATATCTATGGAGCTTTTGCATCACTGGATGCAGGAGTTTGTATGGAGTCGTGATCATTACCAGTCTCGCTCAGCATAATTGAGAGATTACAAAGACTATTAGACAATTTCATTCCCTATTTGACCCTGCACCCAAAAAAAACATCAAATAGTCGCCAGAAAAGAATTTTAAAGTTTGTGGACGATTCTGAAAGAGGAGATTCTCGGCCTTAAAAGGTATATTTCTCGTCACAATTGGATGTCCCTGACCCAATTTAAAAAAGGAGAAGAAAGTTACTTTAGAGAAAAAGGTGTTTAAAGTCTTAGTCTATATTAGCACTCCCAAGGTGCCAAAAGAAGGAGTACAACTCTATAGAAATTGCTATGAAGGGATAATCAGATTGTCCTAAATACTTGGCATGGTAATTAAGCAAACCCTGTTATTGAATCTTCTACGAATCGTTGTAATAGCTTTACTCTGTTTTAAAGTTACTGGAGATCGAAATGAGACCATTAGCAATGGTTGTATATATGAATAAAAACTACTACAACTAAAATATCGGAAAAACATACATGTAGGTCTACAAAATACTGCCAAAATACCAAGTGCGCTGAAATTGTTTCGTGCTTCCAAATTTTGAAATTACATATAAAAAAGTGTACTTTTTCAGGAAATGCTGACCAAATGCACCATTACTGAGCTCTGAGATGTGACATTTACCAGTTTCAACAAGATAACAGATTTCACTCTAAATCTTTTAAAGCGATGATGCTTTCCCTGAAGCCAGAGACCATATATCCGGGAATAACACCATAGCTCATCACAAAATCCTTTTCCGAGATGTGACATTTACCAGTCTTAACAATATATCAAAATAACATGTCATTTTAAATCTCGTAAATGGATGGTGCTTTCCCTGAAGCCCGAGACCATATCTCTGGGAATTACACCATAGTTCATCACAAGATCTTTGTCTAAGATTTGACATTTACCAGTCTCAACAAGATAAAACATTTCATTCTAAATCTTGTAAGTTGATGGTGCTCTCCCTGAAGCCCGAGACCATATCTCTGGGAATGACACCATAGCTCATCACAAAATCCTTGTCTGAGAAGTGACATTTACCAGTCTCAACAAGATAACAAAATAAGATCTCATTCTAAATCTTGTAAGTTGATGGTGCTTTCCCTGAAGCCTGAGACCATATCTCCGGGAATGACACCATCGCCTGTCATGAAGTCTGAATCCGAGTTGTGGTCGCTACCAGTCTCCACCAGCATGGCCGATACCGAGAGGGCCGTGTCGAGAGGTGATTGGTCGGCAGAGTCATGTGATGAGAGCGGGAATCCCATGTCAGGCATGTCTGGTGGGTCATCCTTTGATTTAAAAAAAACAGACAAGGATGAAATCAACCCTGTAACAAACTCACTTACAGTCAACAGTTAAATTATTTATGCCTTAAAGGAATAGTTTAACAATGTTAAATTTGAGATGCACGGCCCTACGTGTTATCAGTGTCTGTGATATGGTGTTATATTGAAGCCTTAACAAAATTGCGCTTCAAAATGATCAAGAAGTGCCTACGAAAATAGTAAAAACCTTTGAGTGACAGGTTTTACCATACTCGTTTTCCCAAATAGACTGTAGTGTTATGAAAACCGTTTGGCAAACGCAAAATTTGATTTCGATTTTCAATCATAAATATCTTGATAATCAGACAGGCTTGTAAAATTCATGGGGTTCCTGACTGACCTAAAGGTTTATAATTATCATTGCAGCATGTGCTAAATCAATGAATTTTTTTAAGAATCTAAGACAAAGTTACCGGATCCCTTTAAAAGTGACTCGGTAACATGGTCTTACATTCTTTCCCGGCTGCTATCGACTCAAGCATTCATGCTCATGATAGTTGGTCTCTGCAGTTATCTTGAGTCTTTAATTTAATCTCATACTTTCAAGGTTTTATTTAAATCTATGTATTTTTTTTGTATTTCAGTTGTCACATTTCATGTAAATCAGTTATATTATATAAATTTAAAGCCCATCTGTAATAGTTTTGCTAGGAGGGATTAGACCCCCAGGAAGGTCACTGGCAGATGGCTATCTCATCAACATAAGAAAAAGAGGATCATGGGGGACCAATGGTCACCGATTAGGTATTGTTTTCTCTATAGAGGGAGCAAGTAGCTACAAGTAGTACAGTGGGCCTTTAATATTGCTTGCATATTTGACTTTTTAATAAATGCAGAAACATCTGCCTAAAAAGAAAGAATCTTACCTGTAGGAGTTGTGTTTGGATGTATCTCGTGCCTGTGGTAGGGTCCCTCAGCGTGAGCGACGCACTCGTCATCATGTTGAGAGGGATAAAGGAAGCTTGGAGAGAACCATCACTTGATTGGCTGGAATCGCTCTGAGAAAGCAACTCTACGTCCATATCATCTGCAACAAACGATTATCACAAGAATTTAATTTGTTTTTCATATCATTACCAGAATCTTGGACATGTATACAAGATGGCTTTCATATGCATAATTTTTCTAAACTAACAAATTATTACAAATGTTGTGAACTCTAGTAGAACATAGATGGGAATGGATAGGAATATGAATAACTTAAAGGATTTGACATATTAAAATCTTACCCATTGTACAAGATAAACAGTAGAAGCAAATTAATATATGTAGTAAAACATTTATCAATAATTCTTCTATTTTTATAGGGGGGGGGTGGAAGCTCCATGGTACTTAAATAATAATGTCAGTTTTGTGAGTCCCAACACTCTGTACATTCAGGTCAGACCATTATAACTGTCAAAATCCTTCTTCTTCGTTCTTGAACAAACAGTCAGGGGAAACACAGTCCAATTCGCATCACAATAGTTACCTGTCTTCTTCAAGCGCTCCAGAGCATCGAGAGGCAGCGGATGTGTGGCAGTTACCGCCCGATAGTCGGTCCTTGCCGAGCCACTCCTGTTCTCCAGGTACACCTTGGGCGTGGTCGAGGGCGTGACCGTGGTGGTGGTGGTAGGGGGAGCAGATACTGGTAGCGACTCCTTCACCGACGATGACGATGATACCAGTGAAGATGAGGGGAGGATGATGGAGGGTGCGGAGGGGTTGGAGGATGAATTCGGTGGGAGGATGGAGAGGACGGGCGTGGCCAAGGAAGGGGGTATGGATAGTCCCCCGGAGCTGGCAGTGAGCACGGAGAAAGACGAGAGGAGGGATGCGCTGGAGACGGGTGCAGCTGTAACCGGTGGGATGGCATCCGTCTCAGAGTCTTTGGTGGTGGTGGTGGTAGTGGTGGTGGTTAGGTTGATGGATGTAGAGCTCTTTGGGATGTAGAATTGGTTGGTGAGGAGACCGGACGCTAAGATGGAGGCTGCTTCGTCTCGGCTGCTTGTCAGAGTACTCAACTGAAATCAAAGAGGGATTTCAACAAAATAGTAAAATAACACTACATATGTTCATCATCATCATCAGCACAAACACCATTACCACCACCATTATCATCCTAACCATCATCATATTCACAACAGTAATCACCACCACCATCATCATCATCATCATCATCATCATCATCATCACCACCACCACCACCACCACCACCACCACCACCACCACCGTCATCATCATCATCATCATCATCACCACCACCACCACCACCACCACCACCACCACCATTACCACCACCACCACCATCATCATCATCATCATCAACACCACCACCACCACCACCACCACCACCACCACCACCACCACCACCATCATCACCATCATCACCATGGTCATCACTACCGCGATCATCATCATCATCATGAACAACTTACCGGTATACTTGCAGATGAAGTAGGGATGAGAGCCGACTGGAGGAGAGATGTAGTCATCAGAGCTGAGGGGATGGTAGGCAGTGAGATTGCGGGTATCGCAGACTCTGTGCTTTCAGCGGTGACTGCTGCAGCTACAAGAATAATGTAACGCCCAAATGGTCATTTAGTAAATTATCCAGATGCTTTTACAACTCTATTCAGCTTGAGAAAGCTTTTGCTTGTTGTACATTGACAGGTTGGTTTTTGACACATTGTTTACATGCAAAAAACAACAACAATATTCTAGTTCCAATTCTAAAGATCGCATCAGAGCTTATATCAAGAAATGTATTTTCAAGCAAAAACTTCATGCAAAATGATTATGGTTGTGTTTTGTTGTGTTTTTATGTAATACCCACCCCCCCCCCCCCCCACACACACACACACACATATCGACTCTTTGACTTCAGAAGAGTGAACCCTATACAAAACAACACTTGTGATGATAAGGGTGGTCCATCCCACATGTGTTAATGAATATATGAATAAATACATATATGAATAAATTAACATATGAATAACTTACTATTATAAATGAATAAATACATATATAAATAAATATTAAGAAATTTAAGACAGATTCTTCTGAAATGCTATTCCATTACAGAAACCCAACTGACTGGCACATTAGGACGAGTATCATTAATTTAAAATTCTTTCTATACCTGATGTGTGGCTTGGTCCAGTAGACGCATGGAGTTGATCGTTACCCAGCCCTATCAGCTCAAAATCACCCGCTCCTCCTGCAAGAATAAGACAAGTATCGTTTCACTAAAAAATTCACCTCACATTAACCGGGCATGGTGGCTAAGTGGTTAGAGCGCCTGCGTCATGGGTTCGAACCCCGGCCGAGTCATACCAAAGACTTATAACACTGGGACCTCCTGCCTTCTAGCTAGACGCTCAGCATATTAGATTGGGGAAGGGTAGTAATAACACAGGGCTCGAATTACCCACCGGCAATCGGCAATTTGCCGCCATGCCCCTCTCACTGGCCGGAATGCCCTTTTCAAAATCAAACCTCTTACGGCCACAATATTTAAATCCACAAAAGTTTTGCCGACATTATAGTCATCATATGTCAACCCCGACTTGTAATGTTCAAAAAGACTTTGTTGCCCCAACTGAGATCTAAAAACAATAATTATTGGCAAGACTTTGTTGCCCCTAAGGAGCTATAAAAATGATAATTATCGGCAAGACTTTGTTGCCTCTATGGAGATCTAAAAACAATAATTATCGGCAAGGTTTTGTTGCCCCTACAGAGATCTAAAAACAATAATTATCGGCAAGGTTTTGTTGCCCCTACGGAGCTCTAAAAACAATAATTATCGCCAAGGTTTTGTTCCCCCTATGGAGATCTAAAAACAATAATTATCGGAAAGGTTTTGTTACCCGTACGGAGCTTTAAAAACAATAATTATCGGCAAAGTTTTGTTGCCCCTACGGAGCTCTAAAAACAATAATTATCGGCAAGGTTTTGTTGCCCCTACAGAGATCTAAAAACAATAACTATCGGCAAGGTTTTGTTGCCCCTACGGAGATCTGAAAATAATAATTACCGGCAAGGTTTTGTTGCCCCTACGGAGATCTGAAAATAATAATTACCGGCAAGGTTTTGTTGCCCCTATACGGAGATCTAAAAACAATAATTATCGGCAAGGTTTTGTTGCCCCTACGGAGATCTGAAAATAATAATTACCGGCAAGGTTTTGTTGCCCCTACGGAGATCTGAAAATAATAATTACCGGCAAGGTTTTGTTGCCCCTATACGGAGATCTAAAAACAATAATTATCGACAAGGTTTTATTGCCCCTATTATTTTATACGGAGCTCTAAAAACAATAATTATTGGCAAGGTTTTGTTCCCTCTATGGAGATCTAAAAACAATAATTATCGGCAAGGTATTGTTGCCCCTACGGAGATCTGAAAATAATAATTACCGGCAAGGTTTTGTTGCCCCTACGGAGATCTGAAAATAATAATTACCGGCAAGGTTTTGTTGCCCCTATACGGAGATCTAAAAACAATAATTATCGACAAGGTTTTATTGCCCCTATGGAGCTCTAAAAATGATAATAATCGGCAAGGTTTTGTTGCCCCTACGGAGCTTTAAAAATGATAATAATCGGCAAGGTTTTGTTGCCCCTACGAAGCTCTAAAAATAATAATTACCGACAAGGTTTTGTTGCCCCTACAGAGATCTAAAAACAATAATTATCGGCAAGGTTTTGTTGCCCCTACGGAGCTCTAAAAACAATAATTATGGGCAAGGTTTTGTTGGCCCTACGGAGCTCTAAAAACGATAATTACGGGCAAGGTTTTGTTGGCCCTACGGAGCTCTAAAAACAATAATAATCGGCAAGGTTTTTGTCGCCCGTACGGAGCTCTAAAAACATTAATGATCGGCAAGGTCTTGTTGCCCCTACGAAGATCTAAAAACAATAATTATCGGCAGGGTTTTGTTGCCCGTACGGAGCTTTAAAAACAATAATTATCGGCAAGACTTTGTTGCCCCTACGGAGATCTAAAAACAATAATTATCGGCAAGACTTTGTTGCCCCTATACGGAGATCTAAAACAATAATAATCGGCAAGACTTCGTTGCCCCTACAGAGATCTAAAAACAATAATTATCGGCGAGACTTCATTGCCACTATGGAACTGCTAAATTAATAACTATTGGCGGGACTTCATTGCCGATACGGAACTATGAAAGCATATCTTCATCGAAATGATTGATACGTTTGGCACAAAAACCGTAATGACTCGGGCTTAGTTTTTCAATACATCTCCATCCTTTTTAATTGGACCAATCAATATCGGGAAGTTTTGTTTACCCATCGTTGGTTCAACATCTTCACTTCGCGTTGTCACCTTTTTTGGTGCGTTTTCAGAGTTTTTAATCAGTGAAAAACTTGAATTTTTCTCGGGAGGAGGGAGGAGGGAGGAGGGTCGGGAATTAAATCAGAAAACAATTAAGAGTTGAGATAATGGTACATCAAATCGTCTTCTTTCCCATACGTTTTAATTAAAACGTCATAGCTTCCGCGCTTTGCCCGGGAGGGGTGATTGATTTCAGAAAAGGATTAATAGTCGAGAACGGTACAACGAATCGTCTTCTGTCTCTAATAATTTATTAAAAACGTCTAACCTTCTGCTTCCCGTGGAATTCAGAAAAGGATAAAGAGTCGAGAACGGTACAACGAATCGTCTTCTTTCTCTAATAATTCAATGAAACGTCAAAGGGGGGAACTCCCCACTCCCTCCACCCACCCCACGGGCGGATTCAGCCGGCGGCAGGGGAGGGGACCAAAGAGGGGACCAAAGAGGGGGCCCAGTGAGAGAAAATATCTAGCGGTGGGTGAAACAGCCTGCCTGTTAATAAGAGGGGGGGGGGGGGGGGGGGGGGGGGGGGAGGGGGGTAGTGAGCAGTATTTTTTTTTTTTGCTCCCGAAAATTTTAAAATCGCGGCGGCCAATAATTCGCTCAGTTAGGGGGAGGGGGGGGGGGTAGTGAGCATTTTTTTTTTTGGGGGGGGTGCAAATCCCCCCCCCCCTCCACTAAAACGGCGTGAGGTGATTTTACGCTCACTTTCCACTTTGGCCTTAGTGCCCTTTAGTATACGATAGATTTGTGCCCCTTTCAGTGGATTTGTGCCCTCTCAAAAAAGTGGCCTTGACCCAAATTTGACGTAATTCGAGGCCTGATAACATATTATGTTAGGCAGGGCCTGCTAGAAGAGTAGTTTCATAACTGAAGTGGCTACCCTGGGTACATAAAACGTTATTGTTATTATTATTATTATTACCGAAGGAATTGCACCATCAGCTCATTAGAAAATTTGTCCAGCTAAGTCCCGACAACCAATGCAACTGACCTACTGGTTGTATTTTAGAATTGTTGACTATACAAAAACAGTGAGCAGCCATGCCTTCAGACTTCCATCGAGACACATTATTACAAGTTACTGGGAGGAAGATAAAGTAGCCTGAAAAGGTAAATTGCCATTTGGTCTACAACCAGTTAGTCTAAGACCCAACACATCTTTTCCCCTTTGGTCTAAACCCAGCTCGTTTTATATCCACACTGTCTAATAATCATTTGCTTTACTTATCTAAAGATCATTGAGGCTAACAGCCATATCAATTTGATCTAATCTCCAATACGTCCACTCATATTTGGTCCACTTCTCATCTAGTCAAATTTCCAGTTTGTCTAATGCACATTTCGTCTACTATCCTCCATAAGGTCTCATTGTCATTTGTTGATTACGAGTGAATGATTTTTAGACCATGTCGACAGTAGACCATATGGGAATGGGCCAACCTGTTGTTGACCAAACGGCAATAAGCCACTCTAAAATACCCAAGCAGGGAAAAAAATTATAAAAAAACTTTGGGGGCTACTTCTCAAGCATTCTTGCATGAAAATAACACTCTTTCATTTGTTTTGCAATGCATTTGCATTGAACTCTATGCAAATTTTAGAGGTTTTTTTTTCACTTTCAGGGGCTCTTTTTGGGCATTTCTGGTGCTAAATCGCCACGAGCCCCCATTTTTTTCTTCTTCACTGAAGTGATTCATTACATGTACCTGTGAATGGAAGAGGGATCCCGTGTCCCTTGACGATATGGCTCTTCAAGCCGAGCTTGCTGGCGAAGCTCATGTCACAGCCATCCAATGGACAGCTGAAGAGGAGCTTCTCTCTCATGGGCTTGGCCTGCTGGTGTCTCTTCTGATGCATATACAAGGAGCTACGGGCAGCAAATCGTGCGTTGCATCCTGGAAAGGAATTAAATAGATCGATGAGTGTGCTTATACAATAATAATAAGGTCACTGACTAGTAATTATCTCATCAAATCAGCTCTCAATTAAAGATAAAGGTGAGTTCTGGTAATGCGATTGCATTGTGAAAGAAAATGTGTGGAATGGATCAGAAAAGTTGATCATATAGCATGTAAGTATTGGTGTGTACTGCAACGTTCTGGAGTCATCAAAATCATCATAAATTTGGCACAGTCTTGGTAAAGTAACAATCACTGTACACAGAAAGATGTATATTGGACAACACAAATGGTGTTGGGGCTAGTACTACCTTGATTTCCTTATCTTTCTATGCTCATTACTCAGCCAGTATACATTTTCTTCCAAAATTGTTTGGCACATTACATCTATTTGTAATCTTCAACATTCAGTGTAAGTTTTGTTAGATTCTGTGAGAATTCATTTTCTTTTTTTTACCAGAACTCAAGTTTATCTTTAACATAAGCAGGGATGCCAGTTAGAGAGGGCCTGAAAATCACCTACAATGAGCTATTTTGTACACAAAAAAGCCTAATCTATGGTCTGAAAATAACTTGGCAGGGCCTGAATTCAGACAATTGCCTGAAAACTGGCGTCCCCGACATAAGAAAATGGGCATTATGGGGGATCGATGGGTATTTAGGCATTGTTTACTATATAGAGGGCGCAGGTAGCTATAATTAGTGCAGTGGGGCTTTAAATTTACAGTGATCCTACCTTTCTCCTTGCAAGCGAAAGGCTTCTGTCCACTCTGGAAGACCTCATGAGACTTGAGATGCTCCAGTCGGGTGAAGAGCTTGTTGCAGCCTTTAAAGTTGCACCTGTTCTCCACAGAACGTTACTTCCCCACCCTGTTCCCTACCATCTTGCCCCAACCAATCTCCTAATTTAAACTTGCTGTTATCCTACCTTCTTCCTTGCAAGCGAAAGGCTTCTGTCCACTGTGAAAGACCTCATGAGACTTGAGATGTTCTAGTCGGGTGAAGAGTTTGTTGCAGCTCTCAAACTTGCACCGATATTTCCTCTCACCAGTATGCCGGACGATGTGACGGGTCAGCTTCTGGATGCAGGTGAATGCCCAGTCACAACCCTGCAGCAATTTGTAAAATCATAAAAATAATCAAAATTAATATAATAAGAAACAATTCACTGCTAACACTTAACCTTAGCCCTGTATCACTCACAACATAAAACCCAGAACAACTATTGCCAAAGGAAATGCCCGGTTGCCACTACGTCACGTTCTGCTTAACATACCTCAAACGTGCACTTGAACGGTCTCTCCCCTGTATGTGACCGCATTATAATCGTTCAAGCGCAAGCTGAAATGTCATCTCCTATGCAATTACGCTATACTGGTAGAAGAAACATGATGTTCTTTTAATAATATTGTCGATGTTCAAACAGAATGTTCCTTTTAGTTTGCTGTTGTTGCCCACTTGCCCTGTGCCTGGTGACGGGCCGTCGCCTTCACCTGCTGGGATGTCACTGTGCTTCGGTGGCCGGGGAGCGAGGTGCATGCTTTGTTTGTTGTTAATTTCTGTCCGACCTAGCAGCGGTGGGTTATGCACTTCGCGCTCCTGCTGTTGAGTTTCAGTGCGTTACGGCAGGTGGATATGGCAGCTTGTCATCAGGCTAACGTATTTAGCTTTACAAAAATGTGTATCGAAAAATATAAAATGTTCTATTCATATTTGTTCCATCATACCAAGATGCTGGCGTCATTGACAACCAGTCTGTTCGCCAGCGCAGCTACACTTAAATTTTTTTTACAACATCGTACTTTACCGGCACACAGCCAGGGACACTCCCAGTCAATAATTGATGCCGACATCTTGGTATGCTCCTATGAGAATTGCCATTGCGTACGGGTAGTGAAAATGTAATACAAATATTGCTAAGTATATGAATATATTGTTGATTTTTTCTTCATAATCAGTTTCACTTTAATTCAATTACGTTTTTTAATATACACAAGACTATATTATTGTTATAACTTCCGTAGCCTATGACCTACAAGCATTGCTTTCTCTTAAGGCTCCATCATATTTCTTCCTTTATACAACTTAGTCTTTTGTATCATTTTTTTTGTTTGTATAAACGCATCCTAAAATTAGTTCAAAATGTAACGTGCCAAATGCAATGATGTATTATACAACATGTGAAATATGAAAATAAACTGAAACTGAAACTGATGTGTAGCTTGAGCCTGCATGCTATGTCATAGACCTTAGTTAACCCATTGCTTACTGGAACCTGGTGGTCCCTGTGTTAAGCCTATGGGACCTATATAATTCAGTAGTCAACGGGTTAAACCCAAATGCACCCCTTGCCCTGCATCACTTACAACATAAAACCCAGAACAACTATTGCCAAAGGAAATGCCCGGTTACTACTATGTCACCATCTGCTTAACGTACCTCAAGCATGCACTTAAAAGGCCTTTCCCCTTGGAATAATACACATGATGATGCAAATTTTGCGCGTAGTCCCATGTACATCTTTCTGTGTACAATGCTTGTAACTTTACCAAGACTGGGCCAAATTTCTTATCATTTTGATGATTCTAGAACCTTGCCGTACACACCAATATTTATATGCTAGATGATCAACCTTTTCTGATCAATTCCACAACGTTTCTTTCACGCTGTAATCGCATGACCAGATCTGGACTATACCTTCAAACGTGCACTTGAATGGTCTTTCCCCTGTATGGGAACGCATGTGGAACTTGAGCCTGCATGCTATGTCATAGACCTTTGTTAAACCCAAATGCTACCCTTCCCCTGCATCACTGGCAATATAAACCCCAGAACAACTGTTGCCAAAGAAAATGCCCGATAACCACTATGTCACTATCTGCTTAACGTACCTCAAACGTGCACTTGAACGGTCTTTCCCCGGTATGCGAACGCATGTGTAGCTTGAGCCTGCATGCCTTGTCATAGACCTTAGTGCATCCCTCGAATGGGCAGGGGTAGTCCGTGGCATCTTTAACATGCACTCTCTGGTGTGAACCCAACGCACTGGAGGTGGTGAAGGTCTTAGTACAGCCTGGATACTCACATCTACACAAGAACAAATTTAATAACAATAATTAAAAAAAAATGATATATGGACAAAAACTATTAACTCTTATCATGCCACAGGGCAATCTCCCCTTCTAAATATATAATCATGAAAGAATATAATCATCTTTCATTACAGAATGAACTGCAGCATAAGATCTCAGAATCTAAGAAATTCAAACCATCTTTGTGACCGGACTAAGCCAAGGGTTTGATATGCAAAATCTATACTGTTGTCCCACACATAGATATCGGTGTGCATGATAAGACAAAATGAATCCCGACTTTGATCATCACTGTCTAGGACACGGTTTACGAACCAAAATCAATCAGGATTAATGGGAGTGGGTAACCACAAAAAATAGTATCAAATTCCCTATGAGAGCCCACTTACATGTGTCTTTAAAGGCCGTCAATACTACTGGGCCAGAAGGGACAAGACCACCCAGCCAGGTCACTGACAGGTGGCTATCTCATCAACTCAGCTCTCAACTAACATAACAAAAAGAGGATCATGGGGGACCAACAGGCACCAGTTGGGGAAGTTTTCAATATAGAGGGAGCAAAAGTAGCTACGAGTAGGACCGTGGGGCTTTAATTTGAAATTATCAGAGTAATGCAAATAATGACTTCAGTCCCAGAAAATGAACACTCACTTGAGTCTCTGCTCTTCAAAGTGTTTGCGCTTGTGAATCTTGAGGAGGGGTGCCGAGTTGAAGACCTTCCCGCGACCCTTGAAGTTACAGATCTCCCCATGAGAGCCCACTTATAAGTATATGTGTCTTTATTTTTAAATCATCAGAGTAATACAAACTACTTCAGTCCCAGAAAATGAACACTCACTTGAGTCTCTGTTCTTCAAAGTGTTTGCGCTTGTGTATCTTGAGGAGTGGTGCCGAGTTGAAGACCTTTCCGCAGCCCTTGAAGTTACAGATCTCCACCGTCTGCCTAAAGTGAGAGTTCAGGTGCATCTTCAGGTTGTAGATGGTGGAGAATTGCTTCCCGCAGTTCTCCATGCCACACTGAAACAGAGAGGTCACAGGTCAAATGTTAAAGGTTAGTCGGGGAAACTTGAATGGGTACACCTACATGTACATGTACATGTAGGTGTAGTCCGGATAGGGACAGGGGTATTCTTTTGCTTACCGCAGTTCTCCATGCCACACTGAAACAGAGAGGTCACGGGTCAAAGGTTACAGGTTAGTCGGGGAAACTTGAATGGGTACACCTACATGTTGTAGTCGGGATAGGGACAGGGGTATGCTTTCTTGGAGAGATGTGATATGATTGCAGGGCCCTCAGGGAGAACAGTATGAATACTGATGACGCTACCCTGGGTAAACAAGACATTATTATTATTATTATTATGGGTAATTCCTGAAAAGAACGGATAACAGGTGTACATTGTGCATGTCTGCACAAGGCAAACTCCTACATGTAGTCCACTCAACAAATACCCCATCGTTTCTCAGAGATTCTCCAAAGAGTCTTCTGGAGTGTAAATGTCAGATAAGGACTTTAACATATGAGGAAAAGACAGTACATTGCATAACGCCTGTTGGTCATAAAACTGAGGGGTAATCCAGATGATTGATAATGCCTGTTATTGGTTTTAAAAACACCCAAACTGTGTCAAATTCCCCCATGAGACTCCACTTTCACATCCATAGGCCTGTCTTCATCAGCTTGAGTTTGCCAAATAACCAGCTATTTTCAGACTCAGGATATTATCCCGAAGCTCGAAATTGTGTCTTCCCTAGACCAATACGTTCATCACAAACTAGCTCAGCCGGGCGCAAATTTGCCCGATATTTCCCAAATAGCGGGATATTTTGGAAACAAGACCAAGATTTCTTGAGATATTATCTCAAACCAAATATTAGGGTGTCTGGACGATTTTTCAATCTTTAATTTGGGATAATTTTTCACCATTTTTTAAAAATATGTGAATAAACAGTGTAATAATAAAAATATATTTCAAATTTCAAGACTCATCAATGTTTCTATCAAAAGATACAGCCCTTTCAAAACTCTGCAATATTCATATCATTTTGATCGGACTCGACGAAAAAGACGTAAACGCAGAGTGATGTTGTTTTGCTAAGTTTAGCCAAACAGCTGGCAGATGCTCCATCGCGCAATATGCATGTGTACATGTATGCATCGCGTACGCATGTTGCTAGCTCAAGCTGAATGCGCAAAACCTGACCACGTTGTTTCCGCGATATCGCCATTAACTTATAACGTGTACTCACTTCCGGGTTGGGAGCGCGATTCACTAGCCATACCATATAACGTGCATTGACTTCCGGGTTTGCTTCGTGTGCAGTCCGAATGCATATTTATGTGCGCGATGTAACCATGGTTAGGACTGAGCGGAGCTCACGCCTCCCTAATTAGCTGATTCCAAATATGTGGGAAGGGTACTTTCAAACTGTTGGGCCGAATGATCCCTTGGGGCTAGCAAAAAAAAAAGCATCTGGATATTATCCTTCTGTCTAGCCCTACTTAAGCCGCAGGGGCTCGGCTCAGGAAAGTGAGTCCTCTCGGAGCTAGGATGCAAGCAACATTTCAATCGCTGATTTGACCAAGATATTTTTAGAATTTTTGGGGTGAGCCTCCTTGGGAAATATGGAGAAAAGCCTGCTCTTTCATATGACACCTCATTTATTGAGTTTCACCTTCAGGATCACCTCTTCTTCTCTCCTTTTCTACTCTCCTCTTCTTCTCTGAAAGCTTGTGATGAATATCTTTGACTTACCACGAATGGTTTAGCGCCGCTGTGACCAGAGAGATGTCTTCTGAGCTTGTAGGGTGAGGGGAAGCTCCAATCACAATCCTCATGAGGGCACTGTCAAAAAAAGGCAAATGAGATGATGTCAGTGATCTCAAGTCTTTGGCTTTAAAGGGATCCGGTAACTTTGTCTAGGTTCTTCAAAGATTATCAACACTAGTGTGGCTAGGAGGGATTAGACCACACAGCGAGGTCACTGACAGGTGGCTATCTCATCAACTCAGCTCTCAAATAACATAAGAAATAGAGGATCATGGGGGACCAACAGGCACCGATTGGGGAAGTTTTCTATATATAGAGGGAGCAAGTACATGTAGCTACAAGTAGGACAGTGGGGCTTATACAAATCCTTGATAATTATAAACCTTAAGGTCAGTCAGGAACCCCAATGACTTGTACAAGCCGATCGCCTGTCTGATTATCAAGATATTTATGATTGGAAATCTAAATCAAATTTTGCGTTTGCCAAACGGTTTTGATATTACACTACAGTCTATTGGGGAAAACGAGTATGGTAAAACTGGTCACTCAAAGGTTTTTTGAAATGCTTACCACATAATCAATAATAACGGCAATTTGTACATACTATCTGAATAAAGACAGGAAAATATCCCCCCCCCCCCCTCAAAAAAAGAAAATTGTAAAAGAGGCAAATGAGATGTCAGTGAATTCAAATACTAAGCTGTATTAGAATGTCACTGAACAATTTAATTGTTACCACATAGATCAATAAATGACAGTTACTTTTACATACTATCTGAATACAGATACACATTAATCAATAAATGACAGCTATTGTGTACTATTCGGGTATAGAGAAAAATGTGTCCCCCCCCCCCCCCCCAACAAAAGAAAAAAAAAAAAAACAAGAGTAAAAAAAACTAAGAAAGAAAAATATATGTTGTAGAATCCAGTCTAGAAAGGTCACCTGTGTACAGTGAAAAGGAAAAAAACAAAACATCCTCATTCATACATGTACATAAATATTGAACAAAAATGACATTTCAGTCATTATATGTGTTGTTTGTGTTTCCCTTGGGCGTTCGCTGTAGACAGGTTTGACTGTATCAAGGTTGGATTTCCGTACAATCAAAACTGTTACCTTGTGAGGTCTGTTATCGTTGTGGCCCAGTTTATGAATCCTGTACTTTGACTTGCCAATGATGGTTGCTCCGCAGCTCGGGTAGTCACATGTTATCATCTCCTGCGCCTGAAAATATAATCACAAGGACATTAATATACTAATACTCTTTTTTACACTTAATAATGCTTAACCCTGTACTTTGCTTAGCCCCGCACTATCCTTAACCCCGGATTAAGTTTCTTGGCTTTTCACACACGCTTTTTTAGTCCTGTACTAAGCGCCTATCCTGGAATAAGAAAATCCATGCTGTTCTCACTGCGATTTTAGCCCAGTACTAGCTGAATAGCGTGAATATTCATTAATTCGCTCCATTGCTAGTACCGGACTATTTTTTGTTTCCGTCCTCATTCATTTGCTTGGCACCGCAATTGTGGAGTGGCACCGCAATTGTGGAGTAGCACCACAATTGCGGGGTTAGCCCTGCTATTTTGCAGGGCCAGCTAACCCAGTACTATAGGTGGGGCTAGCCCACTTTGGTAAATACATGTCTGAACAGAAAGTGGAGTAAGCTTAACCCCGGACTATTGGTGAGGCCAAGACCCCTCTTTAACCCCACCTATAGTCCGGGGATAAGCAAAATTTTGCCAGTGTGAAAACAGTATAAAATGTCGAATTGTAGTCCTATCATTCTGACAGAGTCTAAAATACATATTCAGCAGATGAATAAACATGAGATTCAAATCACCCATCAGAAAATTTCAATTTGTTTTGGTTAATTTTCAAAACCATTTATTTTACTTTTTATTTCTTACATTTTCGATCAGCACTTTGATGACCCAAAAACGTGCTTACAAACGCAAATTATCAAAATGGCCGCACGCACAGAGGAGATGCAGTGAATGGTGTAGGGGCCTGGCTCAATTGCATACAGATTGTCAAAAGTTTCCAAAAGGGGAGACAAAGTACATGCTGGCAGAATGTGTTGCTCTTTTTATCTGTGTATCTTGTACTAGTGGTAGTGTTTGTTAGGGCTTTGAATCAAAAGCCTAAGGTTATGGATAGTTTTGTTTTTTTATTAATATTTAGGAGTACACACTGTAGATCAGTTACAAGCTACTATGCAGATACATTGTATGATGCACTCTTTCTTTGATATTATACGTATTGATCTGCTACCTTATCCGTACATTGTGTTGTGTTAAAGGTACTACATGTACATGTACATGTATGTCCCTTTTGTAGCCAACCTCAAATGCTGTAGAACTTTGCAGGAATTATGAATATGTCATGTATGTCCTATCTGTGAAATTTAAACGTTGGCAGTGTCCTCATATTCAAATTATGCAAGGAAACCTGTTAAATTGATTGGGTGGTATTCTCTTAAGTTAAGCCGGGACTAAGTCCAGACTAAACAAGAATTTTAGTTCGCACTTCTATGGAATGCTAGGTTTCATCTTCCTCCTTCAATATTCATGACAAAGATAATCTACCAAGGACTTTGTTGAAATTTAGTTTATACTCATATTATCTTTTTCTTCCTATTTCAGTGCAAAATTAATTTTTTGGACACTTTTCATTGAAGGATTAAAATAATCTGTTCAGGGTAAATTAGTTCACAACAGGCACTCCATAAAAGTGTGAACTAACTAAGCACGCGCTAACTTAGTACGCGCTACCGGAATACCACCCATAGACTTCACTGTCAGACACTATTGAGTGACTGACTGGCTCTTTTTTCTTCTTTGGTAATAACATACATGAAAAGAGTTGTCAAGCGTACATGAGCATTTGTCTACATCAATAACCCACTTCTTGTGATGGCCAAGATTAAACTGATTGAATCTTTGCGCAGCATAAAACGTATGACCATTCGGTACAATTGTCTGAAAATCAAGACTATTACTTTTGGGCTCTGTAGCCCTAAAGTCGATTTGATAACTAATAGTCGTTATTTTCCCACTTAAAGACATTTTCAAGCCCCACCTTTTTTAGGGAAGTTCTAAATTAGTATTATATTTTAAATGCCGTTGGAATTTAACTTTTTCATTTTTTTGGCCTGCAAATGGGACATAGTACCTTTCAGGGTTTCTTTTGAATAAAAACAACAAAACAACAACAATTTTTAAAAATGTGAAATGATGTGGCTTTGTCTCAAAGGGATAAACATTTAACAATTTACTATTCTTTAGAACAGGTTACTTGAGAAAAAAGGGTACCTGTACTTCACAATCACCCACTAAATGCAATGTCAACAGGTGTTTGTTTTTTTCTCTGGTATCTAATAAACTTTTCTCACCTCTTTCTTTCTCAGTGGTGTTTTCTTGGTCCAAGATTGTTCAGCAGTCGTCTCGTTTTCAGCACCTACAAAAATCAGTAGCAAGACAAAATGAAATGAAAAATACATAAGATATAAATGTGAAAGGGAACTAGGGAAGGTATTAAGTTGGTTGAAATAGAAGCAGACATTTGAGAGAAACACGTCAGTGAAAATTTGAGCAAAAAACAGATTTTGTTGTGTTTTTTCCCCCTCTTTTTTTCTAAATAGTAAATACCCTAGCATAAAATAAATGGGCGGCGGCCAACAACACTTCAATTTTGTTATTAAAGCTTATCTGCCATAGTTTACAGGAGGGATTAGATCGCCCTGCAAGGTCACTGGACAGGTGGTCATCTCATCGACTCTGATCTCAGTTAACATAAGAAAAAGAGGATCATGGGGGACCAATGGTCACCGATTAGGCATTGTTTGTTATATAGAGGGCGCAAGTAGCTACAAGTACTAGTGCAGTGGGCCTTTAAGCCGATCACATTTACTGCAAAGGGAAAACCTCTGTTCAAACTGAAAATGTGACCAGCAGGTCCCTGAATGATAAAAAATTTAGCCCTTTTGACTGTCAACTTTTAAAATTCATCATCTACGATTCAACGTTTGGTTTTGTAACATTCACTGATTATTATGATCCACACACAAAATGAATTGACACAACCAACTCATGACCTCAAAGAGGCCTTATTTTGGCTGGCTCAATCTGGTGTTAGATCTAGAATCTAGATCTAGTCAGTTTTTTTTTTTCTCCATTCCTTCCTTTCTCTTTTTAAAGCTACACATGTAAATTTCATACAGAGGACACAGGCTCTGAAATGGGAATGTGTTTCCCAAATTCGCTGTGCGCATCTACTTTTTTTAGAGCCCTAGATCTATAATTGACAATGACGCGCTGCAAGAAGTATTTACCGTGATGACCACCATCGATCTTATCGTCTTTTGGAGACTCTGCATTCCGTCTTTCTTGGAGCATCAAAGCAGAAGTGATCATGTCTCCTGTAATCGCACCCAAATCCTCCTTGGCCAGGACGCCTGGGATGGACGTCATATTGCCCTCACCGAGGAGCGCGTCTCGGATCGCGATGTCCACTTCCGCACGGGCCGGTCCCGACTCATCCGCACCGTCTTTCGCTTCGTCGACTGGCATGAAGTTGAGCGATACCTCATCGTTAGTGGCCGTGCTGGAAGATTCGTCATTGATGTTCATGACCGGGATGTACATGACAGATTCGGGATCGACCGTCACTCGAAAGCGTTGGGTCATCCCCGTGGTTTTGTCGCGACTTGTAATGATGTACATGAGGGGGTTGGGAGGTTGTGGCACAGTAGCCTGTGTGGTGGTGCTTGCCTCACCGTCAGCAGCAGCAGCATCGTGACTTTGCTCACTCCCTCCGGCTCCAGCGATAGCTTTGTTAACTTGTGCAATATTCAAGAGCAAACTGTCTCCAGTGGGGTCGGTGAACTCTGCGTCCACTGCCATGACTGGTTGATGTTCCATGGATATTTCTTCCGCTGAGACTCGTTTTGAGTTTGAATCAACAACCTGCAATGTTTCAGAATTAGCTGAACCTGAAAGTGAAGATGTTTCATTTGCGTGAACTTGATGAAGACCTTTCTTTGATTTTGCTGTTCTAATTTCTTGACTCAAATTACTAAGCACTTCACTCACCGATATATTCGATAGTTTCTGATGTTTCATGCTTAAATCAAGAGCTGAGGTGGGTATTCTGGTGCAAAGATTAGGCGGAGTTAAACTGGCCAATAATGCTTTTGCGGCCTCATTGCCGCTGGACCCTTTAACTACCGGATCGGTCACCGATCGCGATGCCGACGGTTCTGGGTGTATTTCATCGCGGGCACCGCTGCCTCCCGCGTCCGTAGGAGAAGATGAACTCTGCGATTGCATGGTTCCGACCCCAGGTCCGTCCGAATAATCCACATTGTCTTGGATGAAATCAATGTTCACGCAATCGGAGCTTCCCAATTCCAAAAGAGCAGCTCCTTGGCCGCCCAAAAGTCGAGATATTGTTTCGTTATCAGCGGCTGTGTCGGGGATCGACAAGACTGGAGGGTCGGGGGCATTTCCCAGTTGCACAGGTACCAAATTGGGTATTGAACTGCTTGCAATACATGTCGCGCCATCTTGGATTTTGACGACAGATCCACTGGAGTTGGTAGAAATCACTGAGATTCTTGGTCGTTCCTTAGTCTTCTTTCCTTTTCTGCCTCGATTTTTTCCCCCAGACTTTTCTGGTTGTGTAGGTGATTCCCCTGTTCCCGCAAAACCCAAAACATCGGCATCAAACCCCTGTTTGGAATCAGCAGAAATCCCGTTCATGATGTACCTCCGGGTTTCTGCGATGGAAGTTAAGGCAGGGCGGAGAGATCACGTGACGTCCCTCTTTTGTACATTTGCCCCCCCCCCCCCCCCCCCCCCCCCCCTTCTGCGCATGATCTTAGGCCACTCAATTTTAGGGCTTTTCTTGATTCTGTCCGCTTGTAAAGTTTAGTTTTTCTCCTTCAATTATTATTTGCCCCTCCCTATACACCATTGCGTGCGTACATGTACGTGGGCTCATAGCAGGGGGGGGGGGGGGGGGGGGGGGGGGAGGTATTTAGTCTATAGCCTCAAGATGATATCACAGCTGTTCGACTAAGTTGGTAATCACGTCACTCTTGTAGGAGATCAGACGTTAAAATAGATTTTGTCATCAATCACGCATTAGAAAATCTAGCCCCTAAACCTGAAACACTTCTGCTTTCGGAGAAATTGAAAAATGAACCGGTGCTCCCGGTAACTTTCAAATATTTCAAATGGCGCCCAAATGTTGTTGTTGTTGTGGTTTGGTTTATTGGCGATTAGTCAGTAATTTGACTATTGTCACCAAAGTACTTTACGGCACGTGTTACTCTCTCATTTTTGTATTTTTTTTTTTAAATATATTTATTTTGTTTTATATTTATCTATGTTTAAAGATAGTATCGAATAATAATATCGTAAGCAAAACATTCTGGGGCTTTGTTAGTATTTCTTAACAGTACGTGCAGATTATTTGTTATATCACATACACACCATACATTAATATGTATAGATAGTACCTACACAAGCCTCTATATTCAATAATCTTATCATACCATTTATCATTGTTGTTACTTGTTCTTATTTTATTTTCTTATTACATTATGTTATTATATTTGTAATGTACTGAGTGTAATTTAGCATATTTATGATATTGTATTATGTTTTACTGTTCTTATTTTATTTTCTTATTACATTATCTTATTATATTTTTAATGTACTGAGTGTAATTTAGCATATTTATAATGTTGTATTATGTTTTACTGTTCATCAAGGGAGGTATTACTTCCTGATAGGGAACCGTTTCGTTCTGAGAACAAACCGTACAACAGCTTTTTGTATACTGGACTCACTCTTTTTTAAGTATTCCATAATTTTTTTCCGGTTGGGATTCGTTTATTTCTGTTAAAAACATAGCCCTTTCTATAATGTAGTTAGGGCAATGTACTAAAAAGTGTTTTACAGTCTCTATTTCACTGGGGCATCTATTACAGAAACCAGTAGCACGAATTCCCAATCTGAGGAGATCCTGGTTAAGTCCAAGGACTCCAAAGCGGAGTCGATGAATAATAATTGTTGAATGTTGTCTCTCTAATGAACATATATATGGTTTATTAACATCTTTTTGATATGTTTTCAAATACGAGTTGGTTTTGTTCCACCTTTCTTGCCAAAGGAGTTTGGAATTTGTAATAATTAAGCCTTTCATTTCTGACATATTTAGATTATTATTGACTTCTATTTTCTTTACTAATGCGGCCTTTGCGTGGAAATCCGCCATCTCGTTCCCTTTTATTCCACAATGTTCAGGTATCCACTCTACGTATATATCAACTCCTTCATTCTTTAAGTGAGTAGTCATGGTGAAAATTTCCAGAATAAAAGATTCGTCCTTCTGTGGTAGCTGCGGTAGCTGCGACCATACAAATCTCAGAATATGCAGTTTTGATATTTACACTGTCGCTCATACAGTTGGAATTTTTTTTAAACCCCAATTTATGGAATTATTTTGACAACGATTTATTCCTAATAGACCCACCGCGGCGCTATAATGTCCTTTGGCAGGAGATTAATCTACATTTGCCACACTCGACCCAGGTGATGTAAATAGTTACCTGGCAGGAATGTATTTTTATTCCTTAAAATGCGAGAGCGCCGTACGGTAATGGCAGCCATGCTTAAGCTGTATAATTGCGGATGTGTCCAATGAGACTAATCGTATAGCTATGCCCCCCCCCCCTCACCCGCAATAAGAGAGAGATAGAGAGAGAGAGAGAGAGAGAGAGAAAGAGAAAAAGAGAAAACGAGAGAGAGAGAGAGAGAGAGAGAGAGAAAGAGAAGGGGAAAGAAAGAAGTGGAAAAAGAAAAGAAAAGGGGGAATAAAAAAAGAGATCGGGGGGGGGGGGCGAAAGGGCCTTGCCTCCTACAGACTGTTACCTCCGCCATCCCCCCAATAAAAAAAGGAAAGAAGGAAGGAAATGAAAAGAAAAAAGGAAAAGAGGAGATAAAGGAGAAAGATGGAAAGAACGGTGACCTGCCAATGTCAAAATATGCTTCTCTGACCGTGATTAAATGCCCTAAAACCCCTGAGCTTTCCCAGATTCCACGTAGGGCCCTAAGGTTGGCCACTGAATGCTCATCTGACCGTTATAAAATACCTAAAACACCTGAGCTTATGGGTCTCCGCCCACTGGACCCACATCAAATAGTGTCATGCCAGTGTCACAAATGAGGTATCAAAAATATGCTTATCTGACCCTGATTAAATGCCTAAAACCTCTTAGCTTCTGGGTGGTTCTGCCCTTTGGACCTCACGCCAATTAATGTCCTGCCAGTGTCACAAATATTATTAGGTATCAAAATATGTTCATCTGACCGTAATTAAATGCCTAAAACCCCTGAGCTTCCGGGGGCTCCTGCCCCTTGAATTCCACCAGGGGCCCTAAGGCAGGCCCCTAAATGCTTATCTGACCGTTATAGAATGCCTCAAATCCCCGAGTTTTAGGGGTCTCGATCAGCCCTACGCTAATTAGTGACCTGCCAGTGTCACGAATAAGGTGTACAAAATATGCTCATCTGACCCTTATTAAATGCCCATACCCCCTGAGCTTCCGGGAGCTCCACCCTAGACCCCACACCATTTTGCGCTACGCTCTACCTGATCGTAAATACTTTAGCCTCCCCCACCAACGTTTAAAAACGTTCAGCGGGGCCTGCATGTAAGAGTTGGGTGATGCTGATTTTTTTATTTGGTCTGCCCCCCCCAAAAAAAAACACACACACACACACACACACACACGCACCGTGTTTTGCTCATTACGTACCTATATTTGGCTCGCATCATTTCAAATCCCCCCACCCCCGTAAGAAATCCTGGATCCGCACCAGCTATAGCTAGAGACGCCTTCATTTGGTTGCGTCACTACCAATCCCTTCTCAAGAAAAGCTGTGTAGCTAGATCAATTAAATTTTGACCCCAGTCTGAAAGGATAAAGTCCCATAGAGCCATAGTCGCGCTTCCATGTAGACAACAACGAAATTAACGTATAGGCCTATAACCATGGCCAAAATAAACTGTTAGTGTGGTATTCTTGAAAGCAGACTAACTTTAATCCACGGTTTAATCCACCGACGAAGTATGGAATGCTAAGTATCCATATGAATATATTTTTTAATAATTTGTAAATCCCTAATTTACAATAAACTATAGCATAGTTATATTGTTCTTTATTGATTATGTTATTACATTTTATTCTAATTTATTAACAAATTAAATTATTCAAAAACGTCTTCAGTTGCAATATTTCAGTTCTTATCAATGACCCTATCAAAGTATGAAGGGTGCCTCTTTTCCGTAGACAAAATTTGCCCATTTTCATCCCTGGTGCGTGCCTCTTTTTAGGTGTAAGAAGTGCCCCATTTTCACCTCTGATAATTAGCCTTTGTACTTTGACACGTGCTCCTTTTCGTTTCTAATAAGTGTCTTAACCCTTTTGATGAGTGTCACTTTTTCCTCTCATCATTAAAATTTAACGTGTCCCTAATTTCAAGCGACTAAGAGCAATTTCCCCCAAAGCTCGCTCGCTACGCTTGGTCGTAGTTATAGATGTTATAATTATGTAACTTATCAAAGGTCTTTTCAGTCTCCTGTTATGAGAATGGCTTATAACCCCATCAGGATTGGGTTTACCCTCTTTATAAGATGTAGTTTTTCGAACTGCGTCCTCACAAATCTTTAAAAAATGTCCTCGCTCGCAAATGAATTTCAAGACCATCACACCCAACTGCAAAGTATAATGCTTGAGCAATATCTTATATTTATAAAGAGAAACAAATATTGAAATCATCTCTGATAATGTAACCACAAAATAGGGGTATACCAATGTCTAACAAATTGTATATTTTCGCTTTGAGATTTCCCTTTGAAGGTGCCCTTTTTAACTTCCAGAAAGTGCCCTTTTTTATTGGTGCCCCCCTCCCACTCTGGAAGTCGCTCCGCCGCCTCTGCTCATGAACTGAATTACAATTCAGCACTGATTAATATCTCGAGTTGTCACTGACATCGGTCGAGGCCTGTGCACTTTAAAAGAAGCCTATTTGATGTATTATTTGCGCGTATTTGTGTGTGTGTCTTTTGAACAAACATGTTCGGTAATATACTGATTTAAAGAAGAAAATCTCAAATGTTATAAATAAGTAATTTATTACTATACATGTTAATTAGTATATATAGTTAAATATGTAAGTAAAGGGATTATATTTACTTATGATCTATACAAGGCATTTTGCTGCAAAAGAAAAAGCCATATTCTGCACGCTACTCTGAATACGAATCCGAAGCGGGCAACATTTTGTAATATTAGATAGCTTAGACAGATACCGAGATGTGATTGGTCCAGAGCTCGTCACGTGATATCAATTGTGAGGATCCAAATTATTATATTTTCCTGGCCGGTCACTTTTCGGTGTTATATTAACCAGCTGGTGAAATGAATATATTTTTAATCAATGCATGTCGCCCTCTTGAGGACTGTATGTCACCAATTACACACATTACACCATTACCGAGGGTCATTTAATTTTTCAATATTTTTTTTTTCATGAATTTTTTTTTCCATTGAAATTATTTTTTCCACATTTTCTTTTTTTCCCCAAAAAATGCTTTTTTGGGTATTTTTTTTTTTTTCCCGAAAAAATCCTTTTTTAGGTAAGAAATTTTTTTTTTTCGATTTTTTTTTTTTTTCCCCAATTTTTTTTTATAATTTTTTTTTTTGTAAGGTTTTTTTTTCTTTCTTGA